TTTTCATCTCCCGTAAGGAGTGCACAAAGGTTGAAAGAGTAAACTATTATACAGCAAAGGTCAGAATAGTGCAGGTAAGTGCCTCTGAAGGAAGTGGAGAGAAACCCACTTATTCGTTCTTTCTCAGATCAGAAAGATCTGAGACAGGAGGAGTCTTCCGTGGCAGACTTCCATTGACTTCTTTCTTTCTTATCTGACCCCTGTAAACAGGACAAAAAAAGAATGATTTTACAGCCTGTTCTTCCGTAAGATTATTGTCTTTTAACTTTCTGCTCAGAAAAGCTGAGCGTTGTGAAATGTAAATCTGAGACTCCTGGAACATTGACTGCCAGCTTACCAGAGCTTCTCTCAAAAGACACAGGAACATAAAAAGAGCAGGTATTACCTGTCTTAACATTAAAGCTGCATGTCAGTATAACTGGTTTGTAGGTCAGGTTGTGTATCTGGGTATGGTATGGAAAAAAAAAAAAGACATATTTTCTAGAATTGGTGGGCAGTGTTACAGACCTGGCATCATGACCTACAGGAGTGGTGCAGTGCCCTGGAACAAATACAAGTACACTGGGCCTTGCACAGTCATCCTGACGATATCACAAGCCCAACAGGCAGTTTTGTGTGTCCTTGAGAGCTGCGCAAGAAGCACAGCTGTGATGAAGGAGCAAACTGAGAACGTTCTTCTTGCTCTTCCCTATGCTTAAGAAGTGATTACCATTACTCATTCCCTGAGAGATATTTAAGCAGCCAACAGGTGACACTCCAGCACAACCTGCTGGTGCCTCTTAGTCCTAGCCAGATGCTTGGGAAAAGCATGGCTAAGGCCATGCTGATGCAAATAGGCCTCCAAGCCTAAAGTACTGGGTGACATAACTGGCAACCTGCACATGTGCAGCATCCAGCAAACCCTGTAATTTCTATTTAGGCCACACTGTGCCTTTTAAGTACCCCTCTGCCTATCCCTAATCTACAATTAATTTTGGTCCGTTACTCTACAAAAGCAGGTAAGCAAACTGATATGGGTTATCATGAAAAAAGAACTGAAAAGGCAAATCCTCTAGGTAAAGTCCAATTGGGAAGTGTGTTTTTATGACACTTAAAGCAGCAAATATTCTGAGGGAGACAACGTTTTATTTGATTGCTTGATGTTGTGTTGTGTTAGCACATGCACATTTAAGGACCGTTTATATTTCCTCTTTTCTGAATCACGTTCAGGAAAGGTTCCTGAATGGGTATGTGCATTTCCTGAAGAGGAAAGAGGGCATGTATTCACTCTCACTAAAGCATATATTGATGACCAGATATTTATATGCTGCACATTAAGCCACCAGGGTAGCCAAAGACACTCTAGTATTCAAGAAATATTTGTTAAACTAAGCAATAGTGGCTCACTGAGAATAACTGAAGTAATCAATGCACTAGTACAGCTGCAGTTTGAAAGCCAAGCATGGATCAAGCCATCGATACTCACCCTGAAGCACACCAGTAATTGACCAGAGTTGAAAGAATGATATAACAAAAACTCAGCACTCCAGAAACTCCCAGTGAGAGCGCACTCAGGCCACACAGCACACAAAGGAGGGCTATGCCACCTATGGCTATCACAACACCTAATAAAAGAAAATCAGTTTGTTATTTCAACAAGTTTATCTACAAGTAAATTAGAAGAGCTGACATTCTACCACAACCCCAATTTCACTCCATTTGGGAAAACAGTCTTCTGCAATCAACTAGCTAGCTTTTATAAAAGCTAGGTCAAGATAACTGGTTTAGGCATATCCTGATGGCTGCAATTAAAAAGGGAAATAGGATTTCCCCTGTATAATCTACACTTAATCAGATTACTACTCTTGTATTTAGAGTTTTAATGCTGCTGATTCCCGAGGACTCAATTGCTTGAGCTGGGAACTTCAGAACGAAGAAGGAAAAAAGGAGAAGACAACACGCCTTAAAAGGTAGTAAATAGGTTCATACATTCATGCATACAATACCTTCCATGACTATCACACCGATACAGGCCATTATGGCTGTTGTAACAACAAAAATCAGGAAGAATGCAACAGGAATAGCAGACACTGCAATAAACACTAGGAGTGATAAGGCAATAAAAGGATGGTCATCTAAGTACTGGCCAACACGAGAATTCATAAATGCAACAACCTGTGGATGAAAGAAAAACATTTCAGATTTTGTTCTTATGTCTTGTCATAGGTAACTTTTAAAGACGACTGTTACTTCAGTGAACTACAGGTAGCATCTTTTTCCAAGTCTGCAGCTTGAATAAAGGAGAGCCGTTGCCTTTGTATTTCAAAAACATGAGGACTTGTTGCAAATTTAGATAACTTTATAGCAAATACAATTCTACCAAACCCAGACATGTTTCTCTTAGACTTCCCAGTTCCATTCTTACACAAAGAAAAAACCAAAAAACCCAAACTGAAAACAAGTGAAAAAAAGAACAAATCACAGATTAGCTGCACAGATTTCAGAGGTGTCTCCACAGCTATGATTTTAATCTAGAGAAATGTATTTATTAAGAAAAAAAATACTGTAACATTTAGAAATTCTGGTTTTTTTTCTTTTTTTCCATGCCTCAGTAATATCTGCAACCTGCTCATTTACTGAGCATAAGTCCAGTGCGGGCATGTCTGTATCAAAGTTGTTGGGAATTTAATTATAATGTTACTGGTAGGAAAAAAAATCCTTTTTACAGAGGCAGTCCTGCTTTTACACTGTATTTTTACTGTAGTATTGTATACTAAAATATGTATTTCCCTTCCCTTAAGGAAATACCTGTTGTACTTTTAGTTCTTTATATAGAAGCATAACCGTTCCACTAAAATACCACTCTATTCTCTCAAAAGGTTATACTAGTATGACACAGAAATGCAGAATGAGCAGGCTTCCCTGACTGATGAAGATGCGGGAAGACAGCCCTTCCTGTAGGCTCCTCAGTGTTCACATAAAAAAAGGGAGTGCCAATTCCTCCTACCCCCCAGTTTTGAAATTGCATTTAAATAAATTGGGATGTGATACTCTGAGAGTTATGAAAGTAGTTTCTTTATAGATACATTAAATTATAATCCAGACCCACATTCGAGTTGCTGTGGATGGCCTGCACCATGGAGTGCCATTGCTTCTGCAGTTCTTGCATTTCTTTAGACATGCTGTAATCCTCAGCCACAGTCATGTATCTTCTGAGCAACCAGTTCTCACTCAGCCATCCAATTTTCCTTAAAATTAAGGTACAATTAATAACAGCCTCATACAGACATCTTTTGATAATGAAGTCTTCCTTTTGCAAACACAGAGAATGTAGATTATAGATGTTAATCTGACCCACAAAGTCTAAAATGTTGCTTTTACAAAAATTCATCTAAATGCAAGGGCTTGCCCTGCAAGCTCTGCTAAAACCCTTCAAAGCCAAGTATAAAGACACAAGGTGACTTTCTTCTTCCTTTGTAACATTAACCCTGCATTTAACCATGAGGGTGTTAATTTACCAGTAAAAGGGTAAATTCTAACTATTCCCAAAGACTATTTGTCACTTCTAGTGCTGGAAACTTGTCCCATATTAATGAGACTTGGTTTTGTGAGCAGCTTCATGTTTGGAATTGAAGCCACACCCTGTACAGTTTCCACCCTACATGTAGAGGCAAAATACTTTCCAAAGGCTCTGAACATAGAATTATAGAATAGTTAGGGTTGGAAAGGACCTTACGATCATCTAGTTCCAACCCTCCTGCCTCCACCCTAAACCATGTCACACAAGGCTGTGCCCAAAATGGCACTGAACACTGCCAGGGATGGAGTGTATTCAGCATATTGAATTGTGATGGTGTAAAGGCAACATCAGGTAAAAGATCTGTTCCCTTACCAAAACATAACGTGCTATTGCTAGGGGAACCCTCACCAATGGAACAGTAGAAGGTATTTTTTCCTACTTGTAAATCTAAACAAGTCACCGTGTCCATGCTTGGGTTATACTCTACCTGCACACACGGTCCCCCCTTTGTTTACACAGCACTTTCACTAGGCACCGGCGAGCAGACCTCGGGCCGAAGGAAGCCGCCCCTCACGAAGCTGCCCGCACCCGAGGCGCACCGCTCACTCCACCACCCCCGCGGCCCGCACCGGGCCCTCACCAGCGAGGTCAGGAGCCGATAAACCACACCCCGCCATGCCACTGCTGCCACAGCGGCTGCCACAGGCGCGATGCCGTTGCCCTTAAAGTGGGTTCCCGGGTAGCGGCCGAGCCCCGAGCCTCTGTCCCGCCGTTCCCGGCCTCCCGCGCTGCGCACAGCGCGGGGCTCCCCACCGCGCGTGGCGGGAGGAGGTCGTGCAGGACTGAGAGGTCAGCGCTGGTGCCTGACAGGCCCCTCCGCCGTGGACGGGGGGCAGCGGAGGTAAGGGGCACCCGGCTCCCGCCGGCCCTCCCACTACGGCCGAGCGGCGGCCAGGGCGAACAGGCCGGCCTCTGTCCCCGGCCAGGCGGAGCAGGGCGGCGCCGCTCCCCACCCGCCCTCTGAAGAGCCGCGGCCGTCCTTCTCACCTGCCCGCCGGGCCGCGGTCTCTCGCAGCGGCTTGACCTCCCGCCCGCCGCATGCAACACCCAACGCGGCCCGAGCTGGGCCTGCCGGCGCTCAGGGAAGCGCCGCCGCCCTCCCGCCGCTGTCTCCTCCCCGAGGGGGCTGGCGGCGCTGAAGAGAGGAGAGAGCCGGGGCAGGCCCCGGCGTGGCGGCGCAGGCACCGGGCTGGGTGTTTGGCGAGGAAAGGGCCCGGGAGGTTTCCACTTACCGCCGGATTTGAGGGGCTTGTATTTATTTCCCTTTCATGTCCCCCTTCACGTCCTGCCTTTCACCACCCAGGCCCTGCCTCAGCCGCTCCGGTCTTGGCAGCTTCAGGGAGGGTCCCAGAGGATTGTGTGGCTTTAGGACACACAGCCCTGAGGTTTTTCGAATTGAGAGTAGAAGACGAGGGTGGCTGTGCTAGCCACACAGTTCCTCCCTGTGGGAAGCACAGACGTGCAGAGGCATGCTTAGCCTTTAGAGACTGGGGTGCCACAGGCCGGGGTGAGAGGAGCAGCTGGGGTGTATTCAGCTCCCACATCGCTTTGGGGCTGCATCTCACCACTCGTGTGCCAGGAACTGCTCAGATACATGTCGACAGTCCCGCCATCCCCAGCTAGAGGGGTTGCTGCCATCTGAGTGGGAGGCTACAGAGGCAGCTTTCAGTGAGTTGTGACTATTGGGCAGTCACGCCGCGGGTTGTTTGGAATGGCAGCTGTGAAACACTTCATCTGGCATAACCACCTTCCCCTATCTCTAGTTACTTGTTCCGGCTCGTTTGCACCCTGTCCTGCTGTCTCCACGGGTGTTTGAGTGGCCACATGCAAACCTGATTGGGGAGATGCTCCATGTGAGGAATAATTCCTTCAGAAATTTAGCTGTGCTTTCAGCAAGATCAGTGCATGCTTTGGTGTCTCAGCGTTTGGATGGGACTGTTCATCTCAGAAATGATGCTCGGTGAGGTTATTGCATGATGCCTGCCCATGGCAGGGGGTTGGAACTAGATGAACTTAAGGTTCTTTCCAACCCAAACCATTCTATGATTCTGTGGCTTGGCCTGGCTACTTTCCAGAGCCATCGCACGGGTATTTTATGCAAGTGTGAAGATTCAGTGGATTCCCAGATTTTGCTACATAGATTTTTTTTTTTTTTTGCACTGTAAATTAGCCAGAAATGAGTAAAATATTCATGCTTCTCATGACTGCTTTGATAACTTGTTTATTGGTGCTGCCCAGGAGAGTATTGCAAAACTGAACATTAATGGTTTCGTGATTATTTTTTTAAAGGCAATAAAATAAATAGCGTGCTTAATTTAGAGCATGCCAGTCTTACAAATGCAAAGAGGGGGGTTATAAAGTTTATATGAGGTTTTTAACCTGTCAGACTGTCAGGGCTCAGTGTCTTTGAGGTGCTGATTTCAGTGAGCTCTGCAGGTACAAGGATCTCTGTAGACAGAGGGAGTGAAAGGGAGATTTGCATATTAATGCCAGTTTGGACTGTGGGCTCAAAAAGCCCAGCACAAGATACCTGCAAAAAGAGAATTGGGAGGGCAAGTTTATTTTGGTTGAACTGTTAGTCTTTAGATCTCATATTATTAAAATACATAGTGTATTGATATTCCTAGTAGAGTAGGGTATATAAAATTAAATTTCAATGTGTTGATTTTGCATGGTTTTCTAAGGTGATCACAGGGAATAACTGGTAGAATTACGGTGTGACATAATCTAGTGATAATGGCACTATAAAGTGTAATGGCTCCACTGAGTTTAGAAGTATGTTGGAGGTTTTAAATTTCTGCCTGGTTTTGAAATATGCCATAGCTGTGGTTTTGGAGATAGTCATATACATCTTAGTAAATTATTTTCCTGCTATGCATAATTATTTATTCAGCTAAAAATTCACATATAATCTCTTTCTTTATAAAATAACTGCTTTTAATGTTTCCTAAGCTGAACAAGTAATTTATTTAACTTCAAAGGGCATGCATATGTACGCATCAGAGTTGTTGTGTGGATTGCTTAATTGAGCTTGTCTTCATGCCAGCATCAGCTTGAATTAGCAGGAGGATGCTGATGTTGCAAACCAGCACTAAAATGTTTGGGGAGTTATGGCACATACAAGCCAAGTGATTGCCAGCTCCAGCATTGCAGTGCTGGTTCTGTACCCCACGCTGCCGGCCCGTATTTAAAGAGCAGCTTAGGTTATGGTAGGTACTTTCATGTGTGGCCAGGGAAGAACAACGTCACACTTTGTTGTTGGTGTTATATCAAGATGTAAGAAAAACCCTGCTGTTAACTCAGACATGTCAGCCTTCCCACAGTTTACAGAAAACAGGATGAAAAGTAGCATCCAAAAATGTTCAGAAAGAGTTTAAGTTAAAATGGAAGTCTTGCTGTGTTGTCAGAGCTTGGGTTTATATAGCCTTTATTGCTCTGGGAGCTCCCTTGCTGTGTGCAGTGTTTTCATATGAATGTCAGAATATCTCAGATGTCTTAGGACTATATTTTTAGTAGCTTTCAGAGGTAGAAGAAACCTGTACAGTTGCTCACAGCTTCCATGACTGAATCTCCCTGACCACCGCTTGGCACAACACTGTGCTGAAAGGGTCTGTTTTTTTCTGCTTGGGGAAGTGCAGGAGGAGGGAATTCCTGTCTCCAAGCACCAGCTATGCTGTAACTGAGGCAACAAAGCTGAGTGTCAGAGGAGTTCACCAGGCTGGAAAGGGCAGAGGGACTGGTAACACAGGCACCTGCAGGTAGTATCTGCTCTCACCCTGCTTGATCATGCACTTTGTGGATGTGTTTGGCATGCTGGGCATCTCTCTTGATCTTTTTTCCCATTCCTTTTGATGTGTGCTTAGTTCTTAACGGTTATTAATGTGTGGCTCTGTCTGCTGTAAACTACAAGTCTGGGCTGAGAATCCCTGGGATCATAGAAGAGAACAGGCGGGGAGGAAACTAGTTTGGGTCAAAGTGGAAAGAGCATGGTGGAAAACATCTTTCTTGAAAGGCATCTGGAGAGAGTTAGAAATACTAATATGAAAAGTGAGCTTGGAAAGGAATGGAGAATGAGCAAGCGTGTGATTTGGAGGGGAAGAAAGCTTCATGTTGTGAACAAGGAGGAAGAAAGCTGGGATTTTTCTTCTTCCTGGCAATTGGGATTGACCCCTTGTGTAATATCTGAAATGACTCTCTCATTCTTTTTCAGTGCTGTAATGACAAGGATGCTTATACCAAGGGGGAGGACTAAAAACTTCTGAGCAAACAAAAAAAGCAAGATGAAGCCAACACAGAGCTCAGGGCTCTTGAGGGTAAGTTCTTTCTGCAGTGACTGTGGAAGATTGGTTACTTTTCCAAAACTTCACCTGAAATAGGCCATTACTGATGACTAGGATTGACATTGGAAGAACTCTTACTTGAAGACACTCATTCTTGTTGAATATTCTTTAGACCTAAGCCTTTATAATATACTTCTTATTAGGAATTCCTTTGCTCAAGTATTTAACTTTCTGAAAGGTTAGGCGGCATATAAAACAAGAGTTGCTTTAGAATGAATGATGGCTTTCTTAGTAACTCTTTTACCTTAAGAATGAACAAACCTCCTAATAAAGAGCATGGTTTATTCATTTTTAAAGTACCCTAAGGCCCAATCTTTTAGTCATTAATCAAATGCAATTCATGCTGTCTTTAGTGAAATATGTCTGGCAGTGATAATGTCTTGATTTCTATGCGCCTGTGTGCAGGCACACAGAGGAATACCAAAGAGGTAAATAAGATCAGTTTTTTTCTCAAATTTTATTTCTAAATGGGCTCTGCTTTGATGTTGAGGAGGTCATAGATTTATCTGCTGGAAAAATAGGTCTGAGCAACCTAGTTCTCCAGTGATATGTTAGAAGGCAATAGCCAAGTGCTAAAAATGTATTTAAAATTATGTAAAAATCATTTTATGTTATACAAACATCATTGTATTGAGTAATAACTTACTATTTCATGATGATTTATTTCACTGGTGTTCAGATACCACATACTTCCACCTCCTTTTCTGATAGTGTGACTAATCTGTAATTTGTTCCTCATGACTCTCCTAAACAGACCTGATTTAGGAAACTTGGAGCAGACTAGGGGTGAGGTTTTGGCCTATTTTAAGGAAAGTTGCCATTAAAAAACATTTTAAAGCAGTGTGAGGCTGAATAATTTGGAGAAAATATCCTTAGAGAACTTTATATGGAGTCCTGGAAGGTGACCTTAGAGTATTGTCATTATGAGGAGGTGGAACATAGTCCTAAAACATATTAGGTATGCTAACATTTGTATTAAGAGACTGTAGAGTCCTTGTGAGCAATCTGTTCTTCCAGTGGCATCCTGGCAATACAGCTTTTTCTGAAACTGGGTCATTATAGACATGAAAAACCCCAGTGTTTTTTTTTTTTTAATCTGTAGTAACACAGTTCACACAGCTTGGACTGTTTCAGTGTCCAAAACTTGGCAGTCTGGTAGGCTTTAGTATTTTAATGTCCAATGTTTATACCATCACAAACTCCATGGGGAATTTTTAGTGTAACTAAAGATATTTTAAACAATTTGAATTGTTTTCAGTGATATAAAAATGTTGTGGGTTATTTTTTTTTTAGTCTGACATTTGTTGTTGATTAGAAGTTTGATCAAATGACTACAAAGAATGGTGCAATCTGAAAACCTGTTTTGCTGAGGAACGTACTCCAGAGAATGACCATTTCCCTAAAATTATAAAAGTCACAGTACGTCACTTCCAATGAAAACTGAAAGTATTTGTTCTTTTGAGTTAATCTTTTTCAAAACAGTGTATTCATGAATGTCTTTGACATTGTTTTCCATTTCTGTTTAGTCAAAAAATGAGTCTGTGTATAACATGAGTCCTGCAAAACGGTTACCGGAGTTACCACCCCTACTTGCTTCTGTGTCCGCTGCGCCTTCAGAATTGTATCAGGTATGTGCTCTCTCCCCTTGTGTCAGGGTAAACAATATGCATGATTTTAGGCATCATATATTACCAGGCCTTAGGTAGAAGAAGTAAAAATAGGAAGACCTATTTAAATTACTAAGTTAAAGTACTCACCAGATTGTCAGATACTTCTTCAGGGCTGCTCTTAGAAAACTGTTGTACAACCTCAGTTTTGAGTTGGATATTAAACATTGGCAGTTTAAATCTGTTCTAAATTTACAGTTAATTATTTGCTGTTCATTTTTGAGTTAAGTATTCTGAGTTTTAAGTTTCTGGGGAAGGAAACAAATGGTAAAAATATTTTTCTCTCAAAGAAATTGTGATTTCTCTCCCCTTCTCCCAATACTTTATAGCAGAGCACAAAACTCCCTGAGTTAGACTGCTGTTCCAGTGCTGAACAGGTGCAGCACTGATCAGAATGGATAGCCTGTGACACGAAAATTGCATATGACAACTCTTAAGGGAAGGAAGAAGAGGTAGCTGGCTTTCCCACCATAAGTGACTTGCAGTTGCTCATTTGGTTCATTTGTGTCAGCACTTAAGACCATCTAAGATGTCTTTCTTCAGAAAGATAGTGCTTGTGAAGAAATTGAAGTAATTTCTGATGGAAAATAGGTTATTTTTGGGCTTTGTTTGAAAACAGGAAATTTTAAGTGAAAGATATACTCTAATGGCTAAAAAGTGAAAATGGTTCTGTGAAGATTTACATAAAATATTTTAAGCCAAAAATCGATCAGACTTCTGGGGATATCTTAAGGGTTTATATAAGATATGGGAGCTGATTTAGCCAGTCCTGAGATTTATGTGTCACATAAGCAGTAGATTTTTGCCAGGTAACTTTCTTCCTGTTTCTCCAGAAACAGCTGTTCCTCTCTGACCAGCTTGTTGCCCCAGGGGTTCCTGTGGGTATGATGATTAGCAAGGCACCTGCTGTGCACCCAGAAGGTTATTCTACCTAGTGGGGAAGAAAGAAAATAGTTTACAGAGTGGGCCTAATTAAGAGAGAAGATAAGAATTCAGAATTTATGCTGACTTCAGCATTTCCTAAAGGTGCATAGTGACTTTCTGGGGAAAGTCTCCAAATCTCTGAATTGTTTTTAATTCTTGTATCTGTCTCCCAAAACAGTAATTTAGGGACCTACCCTCTGGTATAATGTGTGCTGTGGAAGAAATGGAGCTGAAAAGATTCTATGAGCTTTCAGAGGCTTAATTTAAGGATTATGATTGCAGCAGTAGTGTGAATACTTTTTTTTCTTTGCTGATAAGATTATCCTTGTCAGTCAGAAGAAAAAGGCAAGACAGATGTAATAATCTTGCCTTAGCCTGCATTTCAGATTGACAAACCATTGTTTTTCTCACTAAATCTCATAATAGACTGAAAAAAGTAAATAGTTCATAGCTGCATCTGTAGCTGAAATGAAAAGGTGTTATATGCTTTACTGTGCTGTCCTCTCAGAGGTCATAAAATGCTGAGAAGATGAGCTTAACTGCTGCCCCTAAGGGAAAGGCAAGGGAAACGAGGAGACTAAAGATGGAAACATCATGAATTTATTTAGAAGCTTTTTTTTGAGCATGATGTAAAACTGATAATGGTGATGCTGCATTGTAAAGAGGAAGAAATGGGTAATAGGGATATGGTTGTGTTACTTCAATGCTGTAAAAAATAGTTGAAAAAGACTTAATACAGAAGCAAGCTAAATACGAATTTAGACTAAGAGCTTTAAGGAACCATGGTATGAAGTACACTCATGATTCTGTCTTATACACATTTTCTGAGGGTGTCTTGATAAGAAACATACATACTTCTTGATCCCACGTCCCTTGTGCCTGTGAGCCTTCTCATTAAAATTTAGACATCAGGACTGATGACAAGTCAATACTAAGTCACCTGAGAAAATGTGGGATAAACAGACAGAAGAAATCTGTTACAAATCCTGTGCTGATGTGGGAGAGAGAGAAAGATGAGAGCTAAATTTGTTAGTTTGTTTTAATGTTCAACTATTACAAGGATTGAGTGTTAAAAATAGATGACAAAGGCTTCAGGAATAATTTTCTAAATTTAAGCAAATGTAAGGAGAAGAAAAGAAGCAAGATGGAGATGTGGGGGAGTAGCGAATACTAGATAATGTACTGATGCCTTTTATTTATAAAAAAGACCTTGATTATGCAAAAAAATGCACAATTATTCATACTGAGGCAGCATGTAAAATTATTCTTACACATGTGGAACATCAGGATATAAAAATAGATTGGTGGTTAAATGACTCTAAGTTAGACTGAAGAATTTGCTCTTTATACTAATTGATCTTTAACACTATTCTAGTTCTAAGAGGACTTAAAATTACTGTGCTGTATGAAACTATTGCTTTTTATTTTTTTTTTCCCAATTTCAGCTTGTCCTTAATAGCAGCTGTTATCCTCCTTTAATGCAACAAGCATCATGGACTTTGGCAGCTCCATTCAAAGAACAGAATTACTACCGAAGCCTAAGTGATTCCATAGCTAATAACTATACTCTTACTGCACGGGATTTGAATATGAAAAATGTGAACGAATTAAAGTTGTCTTCAATGACAGGGACATCAGGGGGCTCAGCAAAGCAGAAAACAGCCTCAACGTGTATCCATATTTGTGTTTATAAGTTTAGCTTTGCTAGTTCTGTACGTTTTTATCTCTAATTGATTATTTGTTACAGCAGCATCCTTGGAGAGATTGTTTATCCCTAATAAACACAATCTTCTCACCTCAGGGTCAGTATAGACAAATTTCTGAAAGCATGCATAACTTCAATAAAGGTAAGGCCAGTTTCTGATTAATTAGTTAGGTTCATCCCTCCAGATAATCCCTTGTGATTTGTGATTTGGAGGGAATTCTTTGCAAAGCAGAAAATGAACACAAGTTGGCTCTTATTATTGCTTGAAATAAAAGTTAGTATCAGCAGAAAACCAGAAAGTCAATGTGCATCCCTGTTACGCTCATATTCATGAGTCTTACACAGGAAAACAAGATGTGGGCCAGGCATTAAGATGTTTACCTGAGAATCAAATTCAAGAAATGTGCGTAATACACTGTTTATATCTAAATAATGTAATTGATGTATTTATTAGCAAACTGCATACATATGTGAGATATTACACGCTGTTGATTCAACATGACATTGTGATATAAGGCAAATAAGGTTGAGTTGTAATACTTTTGCTATTTATGTTTACCAATCAATATATATATATAGCATTTTATGAAGAAAAAATCTTTATGCTCTAAGTACCATTTGCATGTGTCAGATTAACTCCATTACTTAGTCTAAAAATTCCAAAGTGAGCAAGTTATTAATGAGCTTTATTTCCTAATTATCTCGTTAAATGTCCTCTGCATTAAGGGTAAGACATTCAAAACCCATAGTTTTCATAGTCTGTCTGTGAATATACTCATCCTGAATTGTTGCTTTGCTTTCCTGAAGTGTTAGAAGTTGTTCTGTTTCCTTGGGATAGATGAGACATAATATCTGCTTAGTCCCCTTCTATGCTATTTAAGAAAGGTTTGGTGTTGTTCATTGGGTCTCTTTAATGGTTTCCTTATCATACACCTGATTCTTCTACTACTTGTACTTCTGCAGTACATGGGTGGTATGTGGGAAGCAGATCATGGTACTTTTCTTGATATATTAATTTTGATAAAAGACCTGTTTATTTGTCCATACAGTTGCATGTGGTAATAGTTTGTACTTCTCAGATTTTTCATGTGCAGTGTATTTGGTGGAACTATACAGCTTATAGAAGTGCTTTTATGTTCAAAATAGAAAAGTCACATTGCAGAATATATGGTTAGTGCAGGGAGGTAAGTAAACACTAAAATCTTAAGCATGAGCTTAAGCAGAATGCTTCCCTGAAGCTGGTTTATTGTCCCAGAATCAGCAAGATTATTTATCATATGATTTTAATGTCTTGCTAAATGCTAAGTCAAAACTAAGATCTTCTTTTTGACATTGTAGTTTTCTGTTATTTCATTATCTGATTAATTGACTTAGCTCTGTTTTTCACCAATCTGAAATAATATTTTATTTGAAAAATATCCTTTTATGTGATGTTTTCTTAACTGCTGCTTAAAGCATCGGAAGAATTTTGTCCTTCCAGGAGAAAGCTCAAACTTACACAAAGAAGTCAATGGATTTCTGACAGGTAATGTACTGTGGTGTTATAAGGGTACAGATTATTACAGTCAGTACAGATATCTGATTTTTTACTTGTATGCTATATTAAGCACCCAGGCATGAAATGTTAAGTCTTTACAAAGAAAGTATGTGCCTTAAGACTGAAATTCCATGGTGTGTTAACTGAGTACCTTTAACTGTTTGTTTGTGGCAGGACAAATGATGGTTTTAGGCATGATGAAGGAAAGGTCTTCCTTTAGTGAAGACTTAGTAAACTTGCGAAGCCATAGTTTAGTTCATAGAGATGCAGATTGTGGAAATGAATTTTCTCAGTTTCGTTGTGATTGTTTAAATGTTCTGTAGTGCTCCTAGAGATGTGTTGAATTGTGTGCTCTGCTGTACTAAATATTTCTTTTCTTCTTTGTGCTTCTCTTCTGTAAAACAAGGAAATAATCCTCTCTTAAAGTGCTATGACAGTAATTTTCATACTCCTTGTTAAGATAACATGGTGCTGAGTACCATAAAAAAGACAAAAGGGATATTTGAATTCTCTTCAGCTAAGGACTTGGTAATGTGAGGTGAATCAGGTATGGAGTGACAGCTTGTTGGCTGTGTTGTTTATCCCACGGAGTGTGGACTGCCCTGTGGAAAACAGCGTATAATCATGAAAAAAAAGAAGTCTGCAGTGTAATATTTATGCAAATGAGCCAATTTGAACTTTTAGCTCAGATAGTTAAGATTTTGGTAAGATAATTACCTGATTAGGTGGAGATCTTGGGCAACCTAAATAATAGTGCTAGCTGGTCTGGCTATGATAGAACTGCTTGTAAGCTGCTGCCTGTCTCTGTGATACTGTGTGGTTGTAAGGTTTACATATTTGTATTCTTTCTGTGAAAGCAGTATGCTACATTATGCTACCCTTCTACTGATTTTTTTTTTTTTTTTCTTACAAGTAATTGAAATACTTCATAGGTCACACTTGTCCTCAGTGCAGTGTAAGTGGTTTATATAATGCTTGTCATTTGTCCATATAGATTTAAGAATCCATTACTGCTTCTTTATTCATTAAATTTGGTTGGGTTTTTTTTCCAGAATTAAACCAACTTCACTGAAAAGTTTGGATACCATTTCACTGAGTGCACTTGCTCATATGCCAGAATTACGTGACTTCCATTATTCAGACAGCCAGCCATTGACCCCAGAAGAACAATTTGTTATCATGCACTTACATGAGAAGGAGATAAGTAAGCGAGAAAAGCCACCTTCAATAAATGATATAGAGGTATTTATACAGTTTTGTTTTAAGCTAGAAGTGTCAGCAGTAAACATCTTCAGAAAACCTCCAAACTTCTACTTAAAAGTAGTTGAGAAAAGAAGGCAGGACATGAGGTTTGGAAGATGTAAATACTCAATATAGCAAACTGCTGTTAAATATTGTCAGTTCCTTTAGTAGTTCTCTTTCTGGCTACTCAGTCTGATTTTTGTTCTAATGGGTTTGCAAGTAGAAGGACCTTCCCAAATTCTTAACCTCTCACATTGTTGGCTAGTACTTCAGTGATTAGTAATTTAATATGCTGCACTCAGCTCTACTGGTATGTACACTTACATCAAAACAGGTGGAAGTGTAAAAATGTCAGGCATTGGCAGTGCTTTAAAAAGATTCAAGTGCAGAAAAGGTTCAAGTAATAGAAAAGCTGAAAATGTTTTGTAGTAAATTCATTATCTATCATAAAATTCATACAATAAACATAATATTTTTACCATCATTTTTAGCGGTACTGTTACTACATACATAATGGAGTGCGGGAAGACATGCTGGCGCCTCAGGATAAGGAAGTGATTAATGCAATTTTAAAGCATATTCCAGCTCACATTCTTGCTAACCCAAACCTGGAGGATTTATGTGCAAATTTGAAAGAAGAGATTAAGAGTGACTATTGTATCTATCTCATGAAAGCCATTGGTAAGACTCAAAAACTCTTAGCAATTCAGAGTATGTAGACATATATTGCACTTTGAAAGCAAGTCTGTATTCTATTCTTAGCACCCATGAAGAATTCTTTTGGGGTCAGTAGAACTGCAGTGGATACCTGAGAGAATATAATCTGCGATCATACTACATAGCATTCCAGTTTCAACAAGTATCTATTTACTAAACTGTACATCCATTACTTACATGTAGTAATTTCTAAATTCAGTAGCTTTGGGTGCATAGAATTGTTTTGGCCATACTTATACAATTTCCCATTCCTAATGCGAATCCAAATCACATTCAAAATGCATAATTCTGCATCATAAAGTGTATAAAGGGGATTGATCAAATGCTGGGGTTCAAAGAGTAATCGTAGAATCATAGAATAGTTAGCTTTGGAAGGGACCTTAAGATCATCTAGTTCCAACCCCCCTGCCCCACACTAAACCATGTCACCCAAGGCTCTGTCCAGCCTGGCATTGAACACCACCAGGAATGGAACATTCGCAACTTCCCTGGGCAGCCCTTTCCAGTGCCTCACCACCATCACAGTAAAGAACTTCCTCCTTATATCCAATCTAAGCTTCCCCTGTGTAAGTTTTAACCCATTACCCCTTGTCCAAATACTACAGTCCCTAATGAAGAGTTCCTCCCCAGCATCCTTATAGGCCCTCTTCAGATACTGGAAGGCTGCTATGAGGTCTCCACGCAGCCTTCTCTTCTCCAGGCTGAACAGCCCCAACTTTCTCAGCCTGTCTTCATACGGGAGGTGCTTCAGTCCCCTGATCATCCTCGTGGCCCTCCTCTGGACTTCTTCCAACAGTCCCATGTCCTTTTCATGTTAAGGACACCAGAACTGCACACAATACTCCAGGTGAGGTCTCACAAGAGCAGAGTAGAGGGGCAGGATCACCTCCTTCGACCTGCTGGTCACGCTCCTTTTGATGCTCCTTTTGATCATCTTAGTTTCTAGCAAAGAAATTAGATAAGAAATTAGAAAGACATTGTGACTATAAAGATCATGAAGCACTGTAGCAGATTATTCACTGATGAATGTGGTTTGATTCATTGATGAATGATGCTTTGAAGTGCATAATAGTCAAATACTTTGACTATCATGAAGTGCATGATAGTCAAAGTATATTTGATCCTGATGGTGGGAGAGGGTAATCTAGGCTATACTTTCCATGCTAATTTTTCTGTTACTCTGCAGTAAGTCAGTGATACCCATTAACAGCCAAATTCATCTATCCAACAATTCTAGTGAAATCATATGTGACCCTGGGATCATGTCACAAGTTAAAATAAATTCATTTAAGATATTACACAATTAAAGAAAATCAGATGATACATTTATGTTCATGATCACACTGCTTGTGTTAACAAATACAAGAACATGATATATGAATAAATAAAATTGATGTCATAATCCTTGAAATTCAGTAGTGCCCACCTGAAAGGGAATGTGAAAGAGATAGCTCTGTAGAACATGAGATTTTTCTATTTGCTTTACAGTATTCTTGCAGTTTTCTTGGGTTTTCCACATGTGAAGTAATTCCTTTCAATTTTCTTAAGTATGTTGACCAGTAAATAAGTTGTGGCCTCTCATTCATGACAGCATAAAAATGAGAGATTGAAGTTTTCATTCTGCCTTCTATAGTCTCTGATATCTTTCTAAATACCCTTTAATTTGGCTTTTATCAATGTCATGATTTTAGTGTTTGCAGTCCCTAATGTCTACAAAGGGTGGTGAGTCCACTTCTCAGCTTTTGTTAGTCTTGTACATAATGGGCCATTGGGTGGAACTGGTAGCACATGAGTTTTGGCACTTAGCAGATCATAGTCAGCCCTTTGAATGTCATATCCTTCCTAGATGCAATAGATGTTTCATAATATTTCTGTGTTTCACTAATGTTTAAGCAGCCTTTTAAGAATCATCCTTGAAGATATTTCCACTCCTGGTTTATGGACAAGGAGCTGAAGCACAAAACAGACCTTCAAGAGGAAAGACAGAACAAAAGCCCTTTAATCTGCTTCCCATTTTTAGAATCAGGAGCAATTCTTGTTTTCTTTTCCTGAAATAACTCTTTAGTCAAATTGCTAATTTGATTATTGTGCTGTATTTCATCCTGAAAACACACAAATGACTATATGACATTGTGTAAGTTTTAAGTGTGCAGAATTCTACAACTTCCTGAACTATGGAGATACTGTGTTTTCATGTGAAGGTTTTGACCATTCATGCAGTCTCACCATGATACATATGTTTTGTTCTAGTTGATTACATCTTGATGGATCCAGCTGAGAAAGAGAGACTGCTTATTGGAAGTACCCCACACCCCTTTCCCCAGAGAGTTGTCCGTGCACCAGTCCCATGGCACAGCTCTTATGTAGAAGCGAAAAGCTGGAATGAAAGGAATCTCTTCATAGTGAATCCATTGATGCCCACTTTGCAACAACTCTGGCTTTCTCAGTAAGATGTCTTGTCATACAACATTAATTAAATTGGGAATGTGTTTATTTTATGGCTTGCTTACAGAGTGTATCTCGCAGCATACGTTACAGAGATTCTGGAGGAGCCACTGGAGAGAAAGTAGCAAAATCTATTCTGTTTTGGATTTATTCTTTTTTTCCTGAGCTTGTAAGAATTTCAACATAAAATGGTTGTTTCTTGCAGACTCTGAAGCATGTCTTGCTGTCCACAGTAAAGAATGAGTAACTTCATGCTATGAAAAGATCATCTGTTTTGTTAAAGATGTTATCCTTAAATAAAGATTCAGTGCTCAAGTATTGGAATTCTCATCTTGAGTCCTGAAATTAACAAAATAAACTCTTAAAATTGAGTATCTTTCAAATGTCTGTAGTTGGAAGTTGTTCTGGGGACTTCTGAAAATTGCAATATGTCTCCTTATGAAGCTAGATATAGTAGGCAGTAATCCTGAGAGCTGGTTTTGCATTTAAGTAACATTTGTAGGAATTCAAGTTCTTGTATGTTACAGATTGTGATACTTGCAATGCTGATGAATTCCCCCCCCCCCCCCCCCCCCCCCCAGGGTAGCCAGGTTAGGTATCATTACTATTAATACAGAATAGAAGCTGTAGGTGTCATTTTATATGTTCTTCAATGCCTGCATACGCTAACAGATCTAGGAAAACACCAAGAAAATATTCATTTTAGCAAAGAATGCACACAATTTTAAATACAAGTAGTACCAAATGAAACTTGTGAAGCCTTCTATGCTTGCCAATAGCAAAAACCCCCACCATTAGAAGTGCACTTTTTGGACAGCCTAGCAGTAAAGTAGCATGCATCAATGAAATTATATTATTAGTGTTCATAAATACATATGAGATCTTCCTGACTATATGTCATTGTGGGATTTTTTTTTTTGTTTTTTTCTTTTTTAAACAGAATTCTGTAAAATATGTACTATTTTTTCACTTCCACAGGTATAGTCACCTAAGGTTTGTTCGTACTGAAGAAATCCTTTCTGGAAACCTGCCACTGTTGCCTGCTGATTTCAAGGAGGTTATTCGAAGACACTGTGTGGAAGCTCATGATATTCTTCAGAACCAGTCAGTGCCAACTGTAGTAACAGTGGATAAATAGAGTGCCTTAGGCTCTGATTTACACGAAGCTCCGTTTTTAAAACAGATCTTAGACTGAGATCACACTAGTCCCAGCTGCAAGGCTGCCAAAACAAAGGGGCTAAAGAGAGGAGAGGAATAAACATCTGAGTGCTGAAACAGCTACTGAAATGCAAGAGTGCTTGTACATGAACAAATGGGAATAAACTGACTATGAATAAATATAGACTGGAAATTAGAAGGTTTCTACCTGTGAGAGAGTGGAGCCTAAACCTATAAAAACAGTGACAGGAAACCTGACTTCTTTAAGAATGGAAACTGATCAATTTAAGAAAGAGATTATATGAGGTCATTGCCCATGATATAAGGTGACTGCATTCTGCCACCTGAGATCTCTTCCAAACTTAAGTTTGCCATTTAATGCCAGTAATTTAATATTGTCACTAGTATTTTGTCTATTAATATTAATTTAAAATAATAGTAGGGGTCCTTTGTAACAAGATTACTTAGCTTAAAAGCTCAGGTTTCCTGTAAGTTCTAGTAGGTACAGTTTTGTTTGACATCTAGTTGACAATTCTCTGCTAGCCCTTTGAATTTTGCTAATTCTTTGAGTAATTTCTGATTTCATTGCAAGGAGCAAAGTAAGACTAAGATGCTTTTAAAAACTTTGTTAATATTTCATTGTAGCTGGATCCCAGCTTGTGCATCCATTTTCCGTGATCAGAAAAGAGAATGGCTTCATTTTGCTCCTAAAAATGACTGTGATTCTTCTGAGCAGGTTGAAAGCTATTTTTATTCGGTGGCAAGTCTAATGTCATTACAATTACGTGAAATGGTTGTTAACTCCTTAGAAGATCTTCTTGCATTTTTTATGATCCACAAGGTATATGCTGTTAAGTATATCTGTAATTTTCAGTATTACATAGAGATAATAATTCATCTAGCCATAAATTGTGATGTTCTTTGAAGGCTAAAATATCCCAGATAGCTCTTGCCTCCATAAGAAAGGGCTGGATCCTTCAAACAGTTGTGCATACTATCAGATTTTTTCTGCATGGTCAAGAACTACCTACTTGAATAATTTGCAGGGTTGGGGTTGCAACTAGCTGTTTATAGTTTCCAACTCTTATCTTGAGGGCTGTGCATAACGCACATTTGCTGAAGCCATATGAATAGGATTATAGATTCATAGAATAGTTCGGGTTGGAAGGGACCTTCAAAGGTCATCTAGTCCAACCCCCCTGCAATAAGCAGATTAATCCCATTTGAAGTCAAAAGTTTGCATAATCATACATGTAACCCTTGACAGAAGTAATTTCTGTATGCAGTTTCAGTCTGTACCAAATGAGTAGCTTGTATTATTTCAAGTAATGTACATGATTATAATAATAATAATACACTCTAAGAGTTTTTACAACTGTTTTGGCTATGATAAAGTTGCCTCGGTGGAAATGAGTTCTTTAAATCACCCAGAAGTTACCATGATAGACAAGCCAAACATATTTAAACAGAATAAATGTGGCAGATTAAATACCGCATTACAGCCAGAGGATCACACTTTATACTGTATGCTGTCAGACCTCATGCTAAACTTTGCATCTGGGTGATGATGGTGTTGCTGATGGCTGCGTTTTTTTTTAGGGTTTTTTTTGGTCTTGTGGGATAGTTTTGGTTTGAGGTTTTGGTGTTTTTTCTGTTTTTGTTTTTTGTTGTTGGTGTAAATCATTATAGTGTCTACATGGCAAGTTTAGTTGTGGACTCAAAGGTAATTTGAGGGTAAGGCAGTTCTTACTACCATACAAGGTAGTTAAAAAAAAATAAAATAAGGCAACAGGATCTTGTATTTGAATCTAGATTTTATTTCTGATAGACCTTATGGATGTATTTTTGTTCTTCATGGTAATTAGTGCTTTACTTCTGTTCCTTAAGGGAAAATCAAGGCCATTAGGCTTAAATGCAGTTTCTGAATTCCAACTTTTAGAGATTCATTTAGGATTTGGCATCTTGAAATTTAGTGTATTGGGGCATCGGTATTTTGAGTAAAAATCAGGGTAGAATATCTCATTGGTGCTGTGTATTTAAGAGATTTGGGGGAGTTTGAATCTCTTAAAAATTATTGTAGTTGTAGGTGATTTCTTGAACATAAACAATTTTAATTCTTTTCCCTAAGGATGGAAATGATTTTCCAGAACCATATCAAGAACTGCAGTTCTTTATACCTCAGATACTAATAGTCAAACTCTATGTGGAAGACCCCAAGATTGTCTTTGAGCCACCTTTGAAAGAATGTTGGGATTTAATCAGTCATTGCTTCAGGGAAATCCTGCATAGTGCTGAGGAACTTCCAAAGGTACTGGATATACAAAATACCATATGAATAAAATATGTCTGTGATATATGAATGAAGCAGAAAGCTGACAAATGAAAGATAAAGGTGAGGGCTGTGTATCATGAATTGTGTGAAATTCTGTGACTGTAGAAGATAGCATAGGAATTGTTCTTTTTCAGAGTCAAACTTTATTAAAGCTCTGATTTGATTTTCATATAGAGTTCACAAGCAAACTATGAATGTAACCAAATGTTAATTATGAATCAGAGCCTTTTCATATTAAAGTGTATTTTTATGAAATAATTAATGTTTTTGAAGTAGTGGGCAAATGGGTAATAGAACACCTTATTTCCCTTATGGTATGCATAATTACAGTATTTGCAATGGTTCCCTTTAGGTAGAAAGAGTTCTGTTTCCAGAATTAAAAAGAGATGATCTCATCCTCCATACAGTCAAACCAGATGAATCATTATTTATAGAGTATGTGAACAAACTTGAGAAGATATTTGAGAGCAACATACTTGGTCCACAGAAGTAAGTTTTGGCTGCTGACTCTGTTGCCCATCCAAACCCTCAGATTCATCACACTGTCCATTTGACTCAAACAATTTGAGTTGATTTGTTTCTTTTTATAGAGAATCTTCATATTGGAATCTAACATGTTTTTTATGTGATTTTCGGTGTTTAAGGTATTTAAACGTGTACAGGAAATATAGCAATCTTTTGAACGGCAATGCACAGCAAGATGTCACAGATTTCTTGCAAGGAGATTTTTCTTTAGAAGGTTTAAGTGAGGTAATTATGTAACTGACAACTTCTACATGTTGATACAGCAGCTAACGCATCACACTTTACTTCCTAATCTGTTGCCTAAAGAACTCCTATTCAGATCACTTGTTTCTCCCTTGGGAATACTAGGGAAGCCATCTCGGTTTACATAGCTCCTTACCGTAGGGTTGCTGTGCAAATGTAGAAGGAGGTTTCTTTAGGGCCTATGGGTTCTATGGGTTTTGCTGTGTCTATACTAGAAGACCAGTGGAAGGCTTCCCAGAATATTCAGTGAATCTGCAGCTTGCTGGTCTTTTGACTTTCTTATCCTTAGTAAGTCCTGTCTACTTTTATTATCTGCATTCCTGAGTTAGCCTATGGCAAAGTTAGGCAACTTGTAGTATTCCTTAATCTGGCATATTGTTAAGCAAAACTTTCAGCTGTGAAATCTGTGGGTAGGAGATGAGCTCTAGAAAGATAAAAAATAGTTGCTCCTTCTTCTGTTTGGAATATTTTATCAATTTGCTGGATGGGAAGTAATTAGTTGTTTAGTATTTTTCTTCTATGACTTTAAGGAAAAATAACAAATGTATTATTTTCCATTTGTAGAAGATTGACAGCTTTACAAAGCTGAAAAGAGAGATTGCTTCCATGCACGTCACTCTTCCTCTGGCCATGTTCTGTCTGGATGCTTTACAGCTGAATGAGGAGCTCTGCAATCGGACCCAAAATCTTAAGGATAGATTGATTGAATTTGAAGTCACAGTAAACAGAGAATTAAATGAAAGGTACATGTTGTGAACATGCATGATTCTTGCTGTCTGGGTGGACTGATGCTGTAAATCCGTGAGTGAGATAAATTTCTACACCTGCTGGGTTTCTAGTGCTCCCCAGACATGCAAGGGACACCAAAGTGGGTGTTTAACAGGAACAGAAATACTTGTAAATAAATATCTAACTCAGTCTATATAGGCTACATATTAGACTGGAAAAACGCCCTTGTTCTTTCCTCCTTTACTGACCTAGGATTTGGGTTGAGGTCCTTGCTTCCCCTGCTGGTGTCTAGCTAAAGCTACATGTAGAATGTACTATGCAGCTGCATTTGTCTTGTCCCTGACATTTTTTTCCCTTTTTTTTTCTTTTCTTTTTTTCCTCTTTTTTTCTTGGGAAGGAAATTCTAAACCTATAGGAAGGAAACATCAATATGCTGTTAATTGTAATTTGAAACCAACTTACTAATCATTCTATTATATATAAATTCTCATGAAGATATGTAAATATATAAGCATATATATTATTATAGATACATAAACATATATTAAAAAATACGTATAACAATATAACTGATTGTCCAGAGTAAAACAGCATCCTTTATAAATGCCTATCTGAATAGTTAATTTATGAAGAAATTTAATATTGTTCTTTAAAAGACGAATTTCATTAACAAGACCTTGCATCACTCTTCACTTATGGTCCAAGTGATGTGTTTGTTTTCTTTTTGTTGTAGAATTTGTGGTGAATATAACTTGATTGCAGGGAGAATGAATGAGCTGCCTATGAACACTGTAGAGCTAGTGGAGTACAATGCGTACTTAAAGAAATCCAGTGAAGTTACTGTTGTCAAACTGAGATGGGAGGTAGCTGAAGCAGCACGCAGAATGGAATTCCTCATGGATTATGCTTTTCTTTCTGGTATGTCTCAATTACAGAATATAAAAGTCTCCATGTGAAAATATTTATATATAGATATTAGGCTCTGCATGTTTCATCTTCTAGAATGCTAATGGAAAGCTCCAAAACAGGCAGAAACAAAGTTTAAAGAATTTAGAAAAGGCCAAAATGTACCAATGCAGGAAGGCATGGTTAGAAATAGTGTACAGCACAGGCAGATTTTTTTTCCTGTGGTTTAGAGAATGTCTTAGATACTGTCAGATTGATGTAATGTTATCTGTCCCAATGGTGTTACACCTTTATGTTATTCAGCAATAAGTCTTGAGTGAAATACCATTTAGAAAGCCATGTCTTGAAGACTCTAGGACAGCTTTTGGAAGGTACAAAAGTGAGAACTTGCATCTCTGCAGCTGAGTGGAGGCATTTTGTTGTTTTGCTACCATGGTTCTTGGTTGATACAAAGGTTATTTGCCAAGATACAGGAAGCATCTGTAGAAGTTGCGTTTAGTTTGCACTTCTGATATTATTTGCCATGCATAAAACCAAAGAGCAGTTATTTATATGAATTCTTACCCATTTTAGTGGCAGGATGAGCCTTTCTCCTAAAGGAGAATACAGTCCCAGATCAGACAGCGATAGAAACAACTAGGATATGCCATGTTTATTACAATTCATTTATGATAAAAATTAGTATGTTTATGGAAACCAGAGCATTTTCTATTATATTTTGGACTGGAATGTTTGCATGCACAGTAGTTCATAATTGTATGTTCCTTGTAACTGAGTTTATAGGCACATGTCCTGCAGTTAGTTATAATGAGCTAAGTGCAATAAACAGACAAATATGATGATGGAGATATCTGCTCAATATAGTTATTATTCTCTAGCTTTTGTGAATAACTCAGCATTTGCACGTTGTGCACTAAAAATGGTCTAAACTTTACTTTCACCCACCTTAGGTAGGTATATATATTTAGTTAGGAATGATCTGTCTCTGTGTGTAGTTGAATGGAATTAATATTCTTTCTAATTGTCACTGCCTAGCTAAGGTCTTATTCAGAGAATTTCACATTATTTACTTGATTTTAGATTTTTACTATCAATCTAACTTGCTTTAGGGAACAGTTCTCTTTTCAGTGAAGATAATTCAGCCAGCAGCTTGGAAATGTGTAGCTTCTTAGACAGCTTACTCATAGATGCAGTTGTAGCTATTTTCCTTACTCTTCACAATGGTCATTCTACTGGATCATTGGTTAAAAGGTATTTTCTGAAAGATGTTTTTTATTTTAGATGATGACATACGCCTGAATAGCACAGTTTTCCATTGGCCTAATCAGATTGAGACAATCTTTGATAACAGCAGATACGAGTTGTCTAACAAGAGGAAGCATATAGAGAAGGCTTTGCTTGAAAGGTATGGTGTTAAGACATTTTTTTTCACTGGGTATTTTTTAAAGAAAATAAAAGTTTCATTATCAGTAAAAGGGAAATAATGTCAAAAAAAGGCAAACTTGGAAAGCAGCTGAGAAAATAAGAAATAAACCTTTTTATAGTATTATGGAAATTTCAGGAAAATACTGTTGTTGAGGGTGGATTAGAATATTCCTACTCTTAAATAGGTCTGAAAGGAGGAATTAAGGATGTTGTTAGAATAGTCATCATTTTTTATCTTCGTATGTTGCTTAGTACAGCATTGCAAATAATTTTGCTAGATTATTTTCACTCTTCCTTTATTTCCTCTAGGTAGTAAAGATAGCAAATACAAGTGAACTAAATCAGTTGTAGTTTTGAAAATGATTCTTGAAATCTAATCCTATGAACTGCATAGTATTGCTATAACTGATCAGTGAGTTTTCACTGGCATCTGTATTTACTTTAGTATTGAGAACAGTGCCTGTTACAATTAATAAAATATTTGAAGCCTGAAGAGACAAAAACCAGAACATCGTATTACCTTAGCTGTCTTTACCTTAGGTGTTCTCAATTTGAGGAAGCTCTTGAAGGTTATAACAGAGAAGTAGAAAGCTTCAAAAAGCGGGGTATGATGACCACAGAAGAAATGAAGAACAACACTGAAAAATTTAAAGAGTTAAACAAGAATCTAAATAATGCAGTAACAGAACATGAGGTTAGTATTTATTAGTCAAGTATGGAGTGGTTTGCAATGTGCTGGATGAGCTGAAGTTTGGTTCCTGCCTTTGTTGTTTTCAGGGTTTGGGCCATATATTATCAAGATGGCTTTAAAATTTCCAAATTCAAAACCATGTGGCAGATATCTCCTTGTCCTTAAATGCTGAGTTGTCCCTACTGCTGAGTAGAAGAGGAAGTTTCTTAGGAGAAAAAAGTTTAAAGTTGAAATACTGAATTTCAGTGTTTCCAAGCAGTAAGTAATAGGAGGATGCTATTCATGGAAAACAGATTTTTTCTGTCCGTGATGGCAGGAGCAGAATGCTAGAGGAGTGACATTTTCCCTGAACCGTGCTTTGTGCTGCTGCAGCTATGTTCTCAGTCCCCCTACTTGTCCTCTAATTAAAACCAAATGTGTTTTGACTGTGTGTATCATTTCCAGAAGTTGCCTATAGGTATTAAATATATGTTAGATCACAGAAAGGGATGTTTCAGATGCTAGATGATCAAGACTCCTTAATTCTAGTCAGGGCTCTCCATCTGGTGTACTGTGTGTTTCTAGGTTGAATAGTTTGCCTTAGCTGTGCCTCTGCTGGGAAATGAGAACAGGTACCTTTGAGAGATCTCACAGGCATTGTGAGGATTAATTAATCTTGTAAATCATATTCAGCATATATGGAGCCTTAAGGATCAAGATTTTAATTAAGTCCTGCTCAAAAGAGAAAATTGAGCCAATTAAATGAGTTCAGGATTTAGAAAAATTGCTAGTCTTACATATCAACACTAAAATTGATTTAAAGGCATCCAGTATATTTAATTAGTGTGAGTTAAGAGCACTGATACATTGCTATAGGAAGATCAGAATAAGTAATTGAGTTTCTTAATACATGATCACAATGAGGTCTGTATCCACACAAATTACATGACAATGAGCTTAGAGGATACATGAAGTTAAAAATTATGTTGGAATGTGGATCCTTACATTTCTGTGCCTGCATCAGACACTGAATAATTAAAAGTTTTCTGTAAGGTCTGTTTGCACTGTAAAAGCACAGCCTGAAACTCAGTCTGAATTCAGTGTTTTCATTTCAAAGAGCCTTTCTCTGTGCTTACCTCCCTACCTGTAACATGAAGAAGGGAGTGCTTTTTTTAATCTAAATCTTTGCACATTGATTCATACTGTAAAGTCTTTTGGAAAAAAACCCCATATCTTACCATGAATAAGCACAGCACAGCAATAAGTATCTGTTTTGGTTGGAGCTCCCAGGTGTTTCTGTAATAGGAAAATCACAAGTAAAACCAATTCCTGTGAGCTTATATGACCAAGAAGCTTACATCCAGATTTCAAAGTGAGTTGGTAACTTGTGAGCCTTGGTTTCACTGAATGCCATGGTACATTATCTTTTTCTAAAATTTATGCAGATTTTTTAATTATTTGAGTAGTAAAAGATACCAGCAAATAACTGGGGTGGGGGTGGGGGTGGGGGGGTGGGGTTCAAGAGCATAGTTACCTAATTTACCTAAAATTCACAGGCACAACTCTGCAAATCTGCCTGGCTTTATGACATGTAAAAAAAAAATAAAATTCAATATTTCTTATTTAAAAGTTTAAAAAACAGTAGGTATTTTTGATGGAAATAAGATTTTTTTTTTTTTTCCCCCCTCTCTTAAAGGCTATTAATAAAGAAGAGGAGTTACTTCAGTTGACCAAGAGTCAGTTTCCTCTACTGCAAATTGTAATTGCAAACAAAGAACCCTTTGAGCAACTTTGGACAACAGCATATAGTTTCCATACCAGATCTGAGGAGTGGATGAATGGTGAGGCTTTGGTGTTCATTGATGAAACATGTAATTTTCTGTTAGTTAAGTAGAAGCTGAAAGGTTCATTAGTTGTGAGAAAATAATTTTCAATAAATAAATGCTGTTAAGCAGTGTGAAACAGTTGTTGACTTGGATTTTGCATTAAAATAATTTTTTTGTAACATGATTGATTTCCAGTTAAAAGGAGAATGATTATAAATACCAGTAAATAAACCACCCTGTAAATCTTTGCATTTTTATACTGTTGTATTCAGGATCAATCCAGATGTTGAATGCTGAAGAAATTACTGAAGAAATTGGAAGTATGTGGAGGACTATGTACAAGCTCACTAAGAGTTTTCCAGATCTGCCTCAGCCTAGACGCTTAGCAGAAACTATGAAATTTAAGCTTGATAAATTTAAACTGCATCTTCCTGTCCTGTCAGTTGCCTGCAATCGTGGAATGAGGGAGAGACACTGGGAACAGGTACTTTAAAACTCTGCTGTAACCATGGAAGTATTCTGCCACAGAAACTGACAGTTCAATGCACTATTCCATATATTCCATTCTGTGAAATACAGTAATACTTCTGTATTTCACAATAGGAAGATCCTTTATCCTGTCACATGATAGATCAGGTTTTGAAACTGTAATGGTAGAGGCAGGATCTTCATTGCTTAATAATTTATGGTGGAAAAGCAAATTAGGGCGGTGTATTAGTACTTCCTTAGCATTTATTTCCTGTTGTTTGAGAAGTCTGCTGGAAGCATGCATCCTGATAATACAGTTTATTTTTTACTTTATTTTCAGATTAGTGAAATTGTAGGATGTGCGATCAAACCTGATGAAACTACTACTCTTAAAAACATACTGGATTTTGGACTCTCAAAATATATTGATAAGTAAGAAGCTGACTTTCAGAATTGTGAATTCTCACTTTTTAGACAGTCGTTGTGTTTCGTATGTCAGATACCAAATATTAGTTTGTTTGGGGTTCTTTGTGTGCTGTAAGTACATGCTGTAAACTCAACTCCTTTTATCAAGCTATGGATAGAACTGTCAGTTGTTGTATAGCACAGAGGTACCAAAACCCAGAGTCTTATTCCTAAACCACTTATTTTGCACATTTAAAAATGTCTGTCTGTATGTATCTTCAAATTAATATTAATATCTCTAACTTGGTGAGCCTAAAAGGGTAAAAATATTCCTTTAAATAAGAGTATGATATTATTAACTAATTCATATGAAAGGTAGTCTTGATACACAGCTCTGTCTACAACTGCTTCTTTTGGCTCTTCAGCTGTGTTGCAAAACATTTCAAAGATGTGTTTCATTTCCATTTAGGCTGGAACCTATTGGAGCAGCTGCAAGTAAGGAATATTCCTTAGCAAAAGCAATAGACAAAATGAAACAAGAATGGGCTAACGTGCAGTTCAGTCTGACGAAGTACAGGGGTACTGTGAGTAAACACCAAATCTATATGCATATATTGTGGAAAAGAATTACTTTGATTCTGAATAACAATTGAGAAATAATGGAGTATTAGAGGCTGATTCATTGTGGTATGATGGAAAGTGGTATCATATCTCAGAGCCTGGGCAAATACATATATTGCTATATATCCTTGTATTTGGACCTAAGTATCTGTATAACTTGTGATCTCAACATATTCATCCTAACAAATCTGTAAGCCTGCGAGCTTCTCCAGTGTCATAAGGGAAGCTGGACTGGTAATGAAATTTTAACTTGCCTGGAAGAAACAGGAACCACAGTGCAAAAGATTGAGTCAGAAGTCACCAGCATCCCTGGCTAGCTTCCCATTCACAAAACAACTTACCTCTTGACCTTTGAAACAGAGATTTATAGTATGTATATTTCATATCTTCAAACATGTTGCAGGCTTTCTCAATGCCTTGCTACTTTCCTAGATTCAAGCATAATGGAGAAGGGGGAAACAGGAAGCTGAATGAGTGTGAGGTTGAAGAGCAGTGAAATAAAGCAACTACTATTTGTCTTGTCAAAATGTGATGTATTTACAGGACACCAACATCCTGTCAGCAGTTGAGGACATCCAGCTTTTGCTGGATGATCACATTGTTAAAGTTCAGACAATGTGTGGCTCTCCCTTCATCAAACCAATAGAAGCTGAATGCCGGGTAAGGAAAAGCTGGTTTGAGCTTGCAAGTCTCATAATATGCTTTCCTGAAGTGCTTTAAGATATTTTGGCATGATAAGAAGTTACATAGTTTTAAGCTGTTTCTAAGAACACACATTCATATTTTTCTTCAAGAGCTTTGAATTTTAATGGTTTCCAGACAAAGCTATGTAAAGCTTGCTTAACAACTAAAGAAATTTGCTAATCTAGGCGTTATAAGCATCAGGTTTTTGTTGAATGTCTGGGGAATGGGTCAGTCGATTTAAACAAATCCTGCTGCATTGTGTAAAAAGGCATAGGTCTGTCAGTTATAAGAGATAATTTATTTCTAATCCCCTGGTATTGATCCATAGAAGTTTCAAAGTCTTTTTAGCTGTCCTACTCTTTTGTAAACATGTGGTCTTTGTTAAAGATAATAGATTTCTAATAGGAAGGCTATGCAGAAAGCAGACTTCTTTCCCATCAGTATGTAATACCAATTTTTCTGGCCTAATAGTGGTGATTTGTAAGCAATGCTGAGACCTAAATTCTATTATTTTCTGTGGATTTTAGCCAAATTGTAGGTAAAGCTGAGTTCTGTTTTCCAGTAGAGCTGGTGAAATGAAAGGGAATGGTTAATACAGAGCTATCTTAACAGTCTTCATGTACCTCTTGCAGAATAATGAACAATACGGGCTGTTTTCTTCCTGCAATATATTCCCTTGCATATCTCTTACACTGCAGACTGTTAAAGTCACAAAAGCAATGCTGTCTGAAATTTTTATTCAGAATCTTTCTCTATTTTTAAAACAGATTTGTTCTGCTAGAGTTGCATGAAATAGCTTTTTTAGGGGTCCAAAAGTTGAACCGACTCTTTGTAGGGCCTGTGAATTGATGTTTGTTCAGTTTGCTGAATACCTTATAAAGCTTTTATCTTTTCATTGCTGATAAGATAGAATGCACACAAGTAGAATTAAAAGAAGAGATTCTGGACTGGCATGCCGCTCATCTCTGTACTTCTTAAGCAGTTCTCTCACAAATTACTGTAAAAAGTGCTAGCAAAAGAATTAATCTGTTGTTTGTAAGAAATATTCAGATGTTTATTAGTCTTGGGGGTTTCTTAAAGTTTCTCCCTCCTTTAAAATTGTTTGTTGTTTTTTTTATTTTATTTGTTTGTTTCCTTTGAAGCCAAACAACTTACGCTTTTTGATTCCTCAGTGTAGATTATTTCTTGATAGAATTTTGCTTAAATATTTAATGTTTTCATTACAGGCTTGGGAAGCTAAACTGTGTTTAATACAAGATATTGTAGATAGCTGGTTAAAATGTCAGGCAACATGGTTGTATTTGGAACCAATTTTTAGTTCAGAAGACATTATAGCTCAAATGCCTGAAGAGGGCAGAAAGTTTCGAATTGTGGATTCATATTGGAAGGACATTATGGCACAAGTGGTAAGTGCTTGCCTTTAATTAAGCATGTATTTTTATGCCCATCTGGTAACATGATTATTACTCTCATGAAGATATACAGGCTTTTCTGGAGTTAGATACTTCTATTTAAATCACAAGAAGGTATAATACGGCATGGAAAACCCTTACTAAAGCACACCAATATCTGATCTTGCAGTAAAAGTGGTTTATTGTATCATTATTGCTTCAAGCATTCTACTTTGGATACAGTTAGATTTTGCATGTGACTTTTAAGCAAAATAAAATGTATATTTTGCTTAAATTATTACTGCAATAAATGTGGTTTTTTTGCATATTATTTTTCTCTAATATGTGGTGGCATGGGTATTTGAAACTTAGGTGAATGTGTACTGAGATGGCAGTGTGTCAGGATAAGATAATGGGGATTGCAAGTGCAATTGGCTATTCTGTTAAGTTCCCTAACTGAGAAGTTGGGTAAAAGGACACTACCTGGTAGTGTAAGCTGAGATATTTGTCAAAAAACATTTGGAGTGTGTAATTGTGTGATAAAGGTGTTGAAATAATAGAACTAAATAGAAGTTGAGACCTGTCTAACAGCTCAGACTCTGTCAATGATGAAGCCCATTCAGAAATAGGTGTATTCTTTCAAATTAAGGGGAATGTTATCAGAAATTAAAAATGTGACCAAGATGGCAAGAACAGAGAATAACTGTCATAGAATCATAGAATAGTTAGGGTTGGAAAAGACCTTAAAATCATCAAGTTCCAACCCCCCTGCCATGGGCAGGGCCACCTCACATTAAACCATGCCACTCAAGGCTCTGTCCAACCTGGCCTTGAACACCGAGAGGAATGGAACAGTCACAACTTCCCTGGGAAACCCATTCCAGTGCCTCACCACCCTAACAGTGCTGAATTTCTTGTTGTATCCAATCTAAACGTCCCCTGTTTAGTTTTAACCCGTTTTACCCCTTGTCCTATCACTACAGTCCCTAATGAAGAGTCCCTCCCCAGCATCCTTATAGGCCCCCTATCAGATACTGGAAGGCTGCTATGAGTTCTCCACGCAGCCTTCTCTTCTCCAGGCTGAACAGCCCTAACTTTCTCAGCCTGTCTTCATGGGGGAGGTGCTCCAGTCCCCTGATCATTCTCATGGCCCTCCTCTGGACTTGTTCCAACAGTTCCATGTCCTTTTTATGTTGAGGATACCAGAACTGCACACAATACTCCAGGTGAGGTCTCACAAGAGCAGAGTAGAGAGGCAGGATCACCTCCTTCGACCTGCTGGTCACGCACCTTTTGATGCAGCCCAGCTTTCTGGGCTGCGAGTGCACACTGAAGCTGGCTCATGTTCATTTTCTCATCAACCAACACCCCCAAGTCCTTCTCCACAGGGCTGCTCTGAATCCCTTCTCTGCCCAACCTGTAGCTGTGCCTGGGATTGCTCCGACCCGCATGTCATGTACTGTAGCTCTGTTTGACAGAACTTATTTGTGAATGGAGAAAAATGTAACAAGCTCAATAAACAAGAGCAAGTAACAAAGATTTTAACTTCTGTGGATATTTCCTTGTTTCATTATTTTCTGTAAGGTTCAAATTGGTAAAAGTGACAGTCTCAAAACAAAACAGTCAAATATGCATATGTATTTAATAAAGTGAAGGCACAGTACAAAGAAGAGTCTCTAGCTTTTTAGACTCCTGCAACATATGTGATTGATGATAATAATTTTAATGTACAAACCTACTGTGAGCAGTTTTTACTGTGTAATTGTTTTTACAAAGGTGAAGAGCACAAAGGTACTTGTAGCAACTGAACAACCCATGATGTTAGAGAAACTTCAGGAAGCAAATGCCCACTTAGAAGATATTCAAAAGGGGTTGAATACTTACTTGGAGAAGAAAAGATTATTTTTCCCAAGGTAAATTAATTAAACACGCCTAAGTTAGAGAGAAAAAGCCAAAAGCTCTTTCAAACCATCTCTATTGAACTGAAAAGTCTCATTGTATAAACATGTGGGGAACAGTCCCATGCAACAAAAAATGAAAAGCTGTTCTTTTCTTCAGACATAGTTTGCCTCAGCTCTAGTTGAATTTGAAATGCAATAGGCAAATAGACAAAGGTGGGGAGGCAAAATCTGTCTAGCACAGTGTAAACTTACAATCAGAAAGACATTATCACTTATAGGACATTTTTGAAGGAACTTGCTACCTTCCCATGACTGATTTGCAATTATTTCTCTGCCCTATCCTACTTAGTTGTGCAGAGGTGTGTGATGCATAGGAGTTATATATGATTATGAGGAATAGAATTCTTTGTTTTTACAAGGTACTTACTGGCTGCATAGATATATATATGGTTTTTCCTTTATGAGTTTGAGAACCCCTCTTTCTTCCTCTGCATAAAATGATGATTATATTGAAATTCTGAAAAAACAAGCGATGAGTTTTGTAATGTTCAAAATTGCTGAAGACAAAGGATTTCAGATAATAATTTCCTCTCTGTTATACTAGTGTCTTAAGCAACATAAAACCAATTTCATCTATCTTGACTTAATTAATGAAAAGTTTGATTACTTGAAAGTGCATGATCATTAATTGTACTTTTCTAACAGATTCTTTTTCCTGTCTAATGATGAGCTACTTGAAATACTGTCTGAAACAAAGGATCCCCTTCGAGTGCAGCCACATTTAAAGAAGTGTTTTGAAGGAATTGCTAAACTGGAATTCATAGACAAGCTGGAGATCGTAGGCATGACCAGTTCAGAGAAAGAAACTGTTCCTTTCATAGATAAAATCTATCCAGCAAATGCAAAAGTAATTGTAAAAATATATACATCTTTTACTATGGGATATTAAATTAATACTTTGCTTAAAGTTTATGTTTTTGGTGAATGAAGTTTAGAAGACTTCAGATCATGAAAGGTGTTTAGAAAGTGAGAGTACAGACTGGTATTCTAGAACAAAAAGGATTTGCTAGAGAAAGGAGAAGACATACCAAGTTTGTGGTAAATTCCTCTAGGCACTTTCCTGCAGGTTTATACACCTACTACTTTTAAGATGTAAATAGATAGATAAATAAAGGTGTATATACACACATGTGTATAATCCAAGCTCTCTATATACATATGTATCTAACATTGCACAGCATAGCTGAAACGCAGAAAAATGAGGGAAATGATGGCTGGCAGTGAAGGATCAGAGCATTAGTTCAAAAGGGATCTGGGTAGAAGTAGTAGCATTGTAAGTTTTGAAAAGTATCTCAGTTCCATCTTTTTTCTGCTATTCTCAGTGTGAAGGTATGGAGCTGAATTGCTGTAGGGTAACAAAAAAGAGATGAAAAGTGGGGCATGTTGTGAGTTAAAAGATACCCTTTTTCTCTTAATCCTCCAGGAATAAAACCTGGAGGAAAAATGCCCTGGGTTAAAATGACCAAGCTTGATTGACCATGCAATCTGTAATCTGCATTTTTGTGTGTGTTTATATGAAACATATCCAGTTATTTCTTAAACTGGATTGTCTTTAGTTAACTTGATATGCCTGTCTTCAGACAGTGTTAAACTGCAGTACTGCCTTTCAGAATTTGGGAAATTTCAACCTTTTTTCCTCCTATATACCACACCCAGATTGGTAGAAAGCATATTTAAGCATATTTCAAAGAAAATGTCTTTCAAGAGGAATATAATCAGGAAATGTGTATTGACTCTTGACTGGTTTTCTTTTTTTGAAGGGCATGGTAGAAAAATGGCTTTTGCAAGTAGAGGAAATGATGCTGGCCAGTGTAAGACAAGTTATTGAAAATGGCATAGGAGAATATATCGAGGTAATTGTTCCTGAGTTAGAGAATAAAATAGATCTCACAAACAACTGTATGTGAACAGGTTGCTGAAATTCTTAGCCAAGGAAACTCATTTGAAGCTAAGCAGAAATCAGCTATCCTTGTTCAGGAGTATCAGTGTGATGTTTTAACTCTGAACTTCTTGAATAAAAGCTATTAAAGCTTTCCATGTTGATTCTCATCTATTTACAGCATGAGACATTTTGACAAGTAATTGTTATCAGTGCCTGTAGTCTACTGTGTTTATACAACTTCCTACATCTGGCATGGGTCTTTTTGTTTAAGGTTCCTCGAAAAACATGGGTACTTCAGTGGCCTGGACAGGTGGTTATTTGTGTTTCATCCATTTTCTGGACAGAAGAAGTGTCTGAGGCTATAAGGAAAGGAACTTTACCAGTAAGATTTTCTTCTACCTTTATATTTCTAAGCACTAAAATCTGACTAATTAATAAAAACACCTTCTAGGAAAGAAGATCCTCACTCACACCGTATTGCAATTTACTCATATAGTGTGCTTAATTTTGTGTTTCATTTTTTCTTGTGTCTTAGTGGGAGCTTGTTCTCATTTACTTTGATGTGTATCAGAATTCCCACTAAAGGGAATAGTATTACTTTATTTAAAAGTAATACTGATGTAAATTAAAGTACCAAACAAAAAGGGATAGACTGTTGTTAAACACTATGTATTTGGACTTGTAACTTTTGTCTTCACATGTGAAGCTTCATGGAAAGCTTCTGACAGAATGGCCCAGTTATTTGCCTGGTTATTGTTAGGTTCTCCTGGTGATAAAGGTGCAGCAGCCAAGTCTCTTATGTGCTCTTATGTGTTTGTAGTGTCTCTGTCATCACAGTGGTTTTAAGTATCACTTCATTGAGGCTAATCAGATGCATGCTCAAGTAATAGAAATAATTTCTTACTAATTTGGTAGGCTTATGTCTGATCCTTATGGAGCTAGGTGGATGAGGATTTATTTGGGAATTAATTCTGTCAACAGTGTTTGGGCTTCTTTCTAAATGTGGAAATAGAAAAATTTTAATAAACTTTACATCAAATTTTAATATTTAACATTTTAATATTAGCTCTTTGTTTCTGGATCCTTACTGATTATCTTACTGATTACTTATACCTGGATCCTAACTTCCCTTTGTTATTCCGGTGGTGAGGCACTGGAATAGGTTGCCCAGGGTGGTTGTGAATGCTCCGTCCCTGGCAGTGTTCAAGGCCAGGTTGGACGAGGCCTTGGGTGATAACGATTTAGCGTAGGGTGTCCCTGCCCATGGCAGGGGGTTGGAACTAGATGATCTTAAGGTCCTTTCCAACCCTAATGATTCTATGATTCTATGATTTAATACCAGTTGAAGGTCTTATTCCGCACACCCCATCAGAACTGAAAATATGTATTACTTTCAAAGAAAATATCCTGAACAATCCATAGCTTAAGAAAAATGAGAAAGAATCACAGGACATAAGGGATCTGTTGACATCATGCAGTCCAACCCTTGTTTAGGGCAGGGCAGACTAAACCTGGTTGCTAATGGACTTGCTCTCGTATGCTTAAACCTGTCTTCTATGGGAGATCTGAAAACTGGAAGAGCACTCCAGATGTGGTGTCAGCAATGCTGACTAGAGGGAAGGGATCATCACCTCCTTTGACCTGTTGGTAGTGTTATTCCTAATTCAGCCAAGGATGCTGTTGCTTTTTTTAACCTCTAGGGCACACTTACGTTCACCTTGGTGTCCACCAGCATCCAGGTCCTGTTCTTCATTACTGCTTTCCAGCTACTTGGCCACCAGCATGTACTGGCACATGAGGTTATTCCTTCCCAGAGAGAGGACTTCTGTTGAACTTTGCGAGCTTCCTGTCTGCCTGTTTCTCCAGGAGCTTAGGAACTGCTAGCTACAGCATTACCTTAATGCCTGTGTTCTGTTTCTGTGACAGGATTTCTTGGAGAAGAGCAATCAACAAATTGGGGACATTGTTGAGTTAGTGAGAGGACAGCTGTCCAGTGGAGCCCGGCTGACACTTGGAGCTCTGATTGTTATTGATGTGCATGGTAAATGTGCAGTTGCTGGTCCTTCTGTTACATCTGGGCAGTGCCGCTATCGTTATTTGGGTGAACTATTTGAAAGAGGCAGCTAAAATGCTTTCTCTAACTTGAAACAACATTTACACTGTTTTTACAATGTCTGTGGGCAAATGCACGCTGGTCTGTCCTGCACAACTATCTGCTGTCTGCTTAGAACAGGTACTGGAGTCTAGGACAAATTAAGCTGATTCTCTGTACTAAACAGATGCAGACTCTTTCCTAACATGAAAGCCAGCCTACTACTTTAAATGTTAATTTACTCTTACATAGCTATAAGTAAATGTTAGTTTACTTATATGTTGTTTTAAGTAAACTAACATAGAAGTGTTTATAGTTTTTGAAATAATGTCTCTTACTCTTCAGCTCGTGATGTGGTTGCAAAATTGGTTGAAGACAGAATCACAGATCTGAATGACTTCCAGTGGATTTCTCAGCTGAGATACTACTGGGAAGAGAAGGATGTAATAGTGCGAATGATTACAACAGAAGCCAGATATGGTTATGAGTATCTGGGCAATTGTCAGCGTCTGGTTATAACCCCCCTAACAGATCGATGTTATAGGTAAAGTCATGTTCTCTGTGAATAATGTTTTCATTTTGGGGGCTGATCTGTATTTACTTTCATTTGTTATAGTTAATAATTGTAGGCACCCCAGCAGCTAAGATTTTCCTGTAGGTTTTGGAGGCAAAACTTACGTATCTTCTTTGCCCAAATATGGTAAAATATTTACAATGTATAGGTTTTTACCCCATGTCATTGTTTAAAGAGTGAGAGTCTATTGTGTCCAAGAATGTGCTTCTGAAAAGAGTTGTCAGATCATGATACTGGAATTGTAAAGAATTCTACAGTAGCAGTGGTCAATTATTTTATTTGAAATAAGACATACAGGTAGGGTATGCCTGCCTGTAAAAGAAATGAGGCAATTAGAGAGCCCTTTAAAGATGTGTGAATGCAGTTAGCTTCCTGTTCTCCACTTGCTTGTGAGAGTTTGAAATGTAAATGCTTCATCTTCCAAGGTTGAAATATTTGAAGGCATTTGGTATTTCACTTCTGGTGAGCCCTGGAGACAGGTAATTTTAGGTCTGAAGTTTAAAGAACTTGCTTTATAATATAACCAGGTAAACATATGCTGAAGATGGAAAGATTTTACTGGAGCTCTGAGCTGTGAACTCACCATTGTGTACAAGGCACTTGTAGTAAAGTGCCAATGTTAGTGCGTATGCTGGCAAATGCTTGGTCTTTTGGCATTCACAGTAGTGCTGAAGAGCCACATGGCTGGTGCATTAGCTGTAAACTGGGATTGTTGTCATTAGGATTAGCTCAATCTAAACTAGGACTGTGCAGTTATTTGTGCCAGATGTAGTTTCAGTGCAAGCAGTGAGCAAGTAGACTCCATTGAGCACAATTTAACAGCTGCTTTTGCTGGCAAAGCCTTTGAATGAGGCTTTTGTAAAATAATCACTCCAGTGTTAATAGAGATCTCATTTTAGTATGAAAATCACTTGGAGAGCCCAGTGATTCCCAGGTTTCTGAAGCAACCTTTGTGCTTTCTCTGCCATTTCTAGAGACTGATTTCATTTATAAAGCCAGCTTCAAGTTCTTGTCTTGAAGAGCGCTGCTTGATGAAAATGTGTGGTTTTGAGAACTCTGCCTTTTTGCTTATGGCACTGTGTCTTTGCTTGTGTAATTGAGCTTTATCCTCAACCAAGGTGGATGCAGGTAATACAAAACCTTGACATTCCTTGTAGGCCAAGTGGGTGAATGTAAGTTTCCACAATTGGGAATCAGTTAGAAGACAATACTGTTTTTTTAGGGCGGGCTGCAACGTCAGTAGGGAACAAGTAAATGATTTCCAGGGGAAGCTGTATAGGAAAATACTTATCCATCTCTTCAGAAACAGTCTGTCATTAAAGATTACTATTTCTAATGCCCGTGTTCTTGTTTATGTAGGACATTAATGAGTGCCTTGAAATTAAGTCTTGGTGGTGCCCCAGAAGGACCTGCTGGGACTGGCAAAACAGAAACAACAAAAGATCTAGCAAAAGCCCTAGCTAAGCAGGTACCAAAATACAAACTTCTTGTGTTGTTTATGTTTGGATATGTAGGTATTTCTTAAAATGCCATCCTTAAGCAAGTACTGCTTGTTCTGTACATATTAGTTTATGTCCAACTCAATGAGCTTTTAAGTTCGTTTCCAACCTAAATGATTCCATGATTTTTTTTTTTCATTTTTTGCAGAAATAGTTGGTAAGAAGCACATGTTTAGGACCATTTCTATATAGCATCCTAGTGTTGTAATCCAAAACTAGCAGCAATAATTCCTTCCCATTTTAGATGCTAAGAATTTTATAGTGGACTTTGTGTTAATACTGACAGATGTTCTATGTGTATTTTTTTTTCTGTAGTGTGTGGTCTTCAATTGCTCCGATGGTCTTGATTACAAGGCAATGGGCAAGTTCTTTAAGGGGCTGGCACAGTCTGGTGCATGGGCCTGCTTTGATGAGTTCAACAGAATTGAGGTAATATTTTAACACAGCCAAATAAAATTATAAAGCTTTAATTTAAGACACAAATTTCAGATTTAGACATGACAGCATTATTGCTAATTTTCTACCTTTTAGTTGTGGTATAACCACTTTGTTTCAATAATCATTGACACAGAAATAGATGCTCAGCTGCCTGCTGTAGGAGCACATGCCTACCTGTGCTGTGTTTCTGAAGTCTTGTGTTCTGGGTTATTTTAGCTGAAAAAAAAAATGTTTCTGTGCAGTTACCTCTTTTGTATGTGACACTCATTTGTAGAGAAAGATCTGTCCTTCTCTTCTTGAGAAACCAAACCACTGTTGTGGGGATGTATTTATCTATGTTCAGCACAGACAGGCAAATCCCAGTGGAGGGATTCCTGTGATCACTGAGTGACCTGGTTAACTAGCTGTGTAACCAGACACAGCTGATCCCCTCATCAATCTTACTCTGGGTTTTTTTTTTGTTTTTTTTTTGTTTTTGTTTTTGTGGAGGGGGGGTGTTTTGGGGGGTTTGATTTTTTCTTTGAATATGTTTTGCTGTTATTCTGATGGAGTTAGATTTAAGTAAATGCTAGTATATGTGAAAATTCCATGAAGATCTAGTTTGTGTGTTTTAGTATCATTAACACTTTAATTTCTCCGTTTGTCTGCTGTAACTTGTTTTTTAATGAATTCAAGTATTGGCATTCTCATTTTCCAATATTCTGTTACCTTGATACTTTAAAGCGCTGAGGATCTGCACTAGACTGCCTTACCCACTCTTTAGATTTACCCTTACTTTTGGGCACAGGGTCAGTCTTTTCTGCAGTGGCTGAATTCTTGGCATGAGGTGAAAGGAAAGTGCTTTTGGAGGCCTCCAGGGGGAGCTCCTGTCCATCTAACTTAGATGTCTACATCAGACACGTGGTTATTTCCCTGTGGGGTCTTTTAGAAGCCTCTGTTGATCTGTCTAAATTGGTAGAGTAGGGACTGGTGGCACTAACTTTCAGAGAGTCACTTCAATAGGCAGCTAATATTTAGGCTCAGTTAGAAGGCAAAGAGTTATTTTCACCTGAAGGAATGCAATTATAGCCATCAATATATATAAACAAAAATATTGTCTCCAAGTGTCTTATGTTTTCCCATCTCTTCTGTCTGTATTAGATTGAAGTATTATCTGTAGTTGCCCAACAAATACTTAGCATCCAGCAAGCTATTATTCGCAAACTCAAAACATTCATCTTTGAAGGGACAGAGATCTCTCTTAATCCAACATGTGCTGTGTTTATCACGATGAATCCTGGGTATGCTGGACGGGCAGAGCTGCCTGATAATCTGAAGGTAAATTTGGAATCCTGATTTCTTGTAGAAATTATACAGAATTTGCAACTTCTGGTTTGTTGTAATAAGAAAAGGGATACATCATTCAAAAAACACACTGATGTGCTGGTTTTAGATGGGATGGTTAATTATCTTCATAGTAGCTAGCATAGGGCTATGTTTTAGATTTGTGCTGGGAGCAGTCTCGATAATTCAGGGGTGTTATCATTATTCCTGAGCAGTGCTTACACAGAGTCAAAGCCTTTTCTGCTTCTCATACCACCCACCAATGAGTAGGCTGAGAGTGCATAAGAAGCTAGGAGGGGACACAGCTGAAACCAACATAACTGATAATCCATTCAAGTGCATTCTGCTGTGCTTTTTGCTAAGCTTTAATAGTGTTTAGGATTGCACAAAATGCACAAGTGAAAGGTCTTAGTCTAATCATATTGATACCAGTTCACAGCTTTAACTGTGCTTTCTCTAAGTAGAAATTTTCCTGTTTTAAAGTGGCTTGGTGGTCCAAATCCCAATTTAAATTTATTAAAACTTTGCAAGTTGCTGAGACATTGCAGAGAAACCGATATGGTTCCAGCTCTTTTCCTAGCTTTTCCACAATTTTTTCTATGTCCTTTGACAAGATGCTAACCACACCATGTGCTAGTTTGTCTGTTATGGAAGTGAGATGAATGACACCTCCCTCTTCCTCTATTAATAGTTCTTTAGGATTGTGACATTCTAAACACATGTTCCTGCAGTCCTTAGCAGAGACCTCTTGAACCTGTTAAGATTGGAATAGGCTAGACTAGGGTAGAATAGGCTAGACTAGCATTCAATGCAATCTCATAGTTTTCAGATGATTCCTGAATTCTAGTTCACGAATTTACAGAGAGATACTATTAAAAAACCAGGCACAAGTTATGACCATATTCCATGGTGTTAGCTTATATCATAGTATTTTTTCTTACAGGCACTGTTCCGAATGGTTGCCATGATGGTTCCAGATTATGCTTTGATTGGAGAAATTTCACTTTATTCAATGGGATTTCTGGACTCTCGGAGGTAAGGCATGCTGAATTTTTCACCTCAGTTAAGTCTGATATACCTCATTCCTCTGTAAGGCATTTAAGTGTGTTTGAGGCATGTAATTCTGGAAGGCTGTCCCTGTTCTGTTTTTCCAGAAACTATTTTTTAATCTCCTGCTTGATCATCAGTTCTCATTTACCGCTTCAAGCTGATGGATATGCACCTCTACATAGGACCATTTGGAAAACATATCATAGTATCAACCAGAATTCCTAAATGGCACACGCATTGTCTGGCATAGCATAATCTTCAGTTTTACTTCTTAGGTGTTTTGGGCCATCTTAACAGCTGATATGTCTGATAATCACTGCTATTACTTTGTGTATATAGGTACTTAAATTATTTTCTTTCCATGGTGAGATATTTTCATTCTACATGTGGTATTTTAATATCCACAGTCTTGCCCAGAAAATTGTTGCCACTTACCGTCTGTGCTCTGAGCAGCTGTCATCTCAGCATCACTATGATTATGGAATGCGTGCTGTTAAATCTGTCCTGACAGCAGCAGGAAACTTAAAATTGAAATACCCAAATGAAAATGAAAGCGTATTGTTACTTCGGGCTTTGATGGATGTTAACTTAGCCAAATTCTTGGCACAGGATGTACCATTGTTTCAGGTGAGCTCTCAGGCTGGTGTGTTTTAAGAGTTGTGATGATGAAGTCCATTAAAAGAACCTACAGAAACAGGTCATTTTCTTAATTTAGAACAGTTTGATCTAGATGCTGCCGTATTAGTATAGAGTTATTTCAGTCCACTGGTCTAGATGCACTCTTTGGTTCTGTTATTTTGAAAAACAAAGTTTCAATGGGGCTTTTTTAAGTTATTCCATAAAATTGTTAAGTAAGATATTTTGAAGAAGTCACTTTGTACTATTTCATTTGTGGAAACCATTATTTGAAGTTTGGGTTCTGGCTTTGTGCTGCAAAAGAGATGTAGACGACTAAATTAAGGTCAACTAGAAATTTGAAGTCTGATTGAAAATGATGACATTTCTGTTTGCATACTGCTTTAACAGAAAATAAAGACTGTGTTAAACTGCAAAGCAATCAGTTAGTAAAGGTCTAAAAGGTAGGGTACAAGCACACACAGAGTCATTGTTCTGAAATTTCAGAACACAAACTCTTCTATTTCATCACTGAGATTCTTTCCACCACTTTCACATCCATTGCTGTAATACTACTTGGGGTAAATCTGCAGCAAGTTGAGCTTCCTTGTGTGTATGAAAAGTGCCAGCACTTATTTCTGTCTCATGCGTACAGAATACTTTCATGGGTACAGTTTGCTTACAATTTAGTTTTGTACAGCTGAGGACTTTTCCACTTAAAGTCCTGTTATCTTTATGAACAGTTTTATGTGTAGATTTCTGTACTTTTGGAATTTTCACTTTTTGAAACCTGTGTTTAAATAGTGTTCTGTTCTGCCTTTCCTTAATAGGGCATCGTATCTGACCTGTTTCCTGGAGTGGTTCTTCCTACACCAGACTATGACCTGTTTATCAAGGCAGTAACTGAAAATATAATAAAAATGAATCTTCAACCAGTTCCATGGTTTATTGGAAAAATTATACAGGTTTATTTTCACATAATTCTGGGGAAGAAAAGTATGAGAGCAGAAACACTCTTCATTCACTGTCTATGTCACTTTCCATAATCAATTAATAAAATATTACAGACAGCTTATTTTACTGAGTAAAACATCATGGATTAAAAGCCTGCTTTGCTCATAGCGATCTTTTAATTCAGCCAGCCTGTGAGGAAAGCCTGCTTTGCTCATAGCGATCTTTTAATTCAGCCAGCCTGTGAGGAAGCTAGCATGTGCAGCCACATTGTAGGTCTTGTGGTTCAGGATTGAAAATTAAACTGAATCTGTTGCAGTGTAGTTTAGTGAACATAACTCTGGGCTGGGAGTCATGCTGTGTTCCTGCTTCTGTTCACAGTCTCCTTGAGAAGTCTTGAAAGGGGTGATATTTATCACTCTTGGTTATGCTTCACCTCCAGCTCTGTTGTTTCCCATTGGTTGTGGGTGTTGGTGATGTTTCAAAGAATGCTTAATGTTGTTGAGGGGGGAGAGGTTGCTGGGGTTTTTGTTGTTTTTTTCTGTGATTTGTGTAGCCTAGTAATAGTGTGATGGCTGGGGCAAAAGCCTGTGGCCTGGGGCAGGATTATGAAGGACCCCTCCAGCAGCAGTTCAGACTTTATGACTTATGTTCAGACTTGTCTTATGCTGCTTTGTAAAGCATGCTTGATCTTTCATTTAAATAAGGGTAGTATTAACTGGTTAGCAGCTTAAGGTAAACCAGAAAATATCAGCCTTAACCTGAGATTTAAAAAAAATCTTCTTAGGGGTTCTTCTTACAGGTCTGTTTCTACTTGAAGGTGTTCTTCTCTTTGAGGCTTTGACTTGAGTTCTGGGAATATCTTATGGGGTGACTCTTGCAGTCCAAAGTCAGCCTCTGTGGGACCAACCGTGTGACAGATCCTCAGAACTGTAGTTTCAATCCCTTTGTGTTATCTTCATTGTTAATCATTGATTTTCCTTGCCATTGATACAGATATATGAAATGATGCTGGTGCGCCATGGTTTTATGATCATTGGAGATGCTATGAGCAGCAAGACCTCTGCGTACAAAGTGCTAGCTGGAGCCCTTGGTGATTTGTGTTCAGGTAACATTGTTCAGTGACAAGCTTCTCCCTAAATGAAGTTGATTCTATGACTAATGTTTTTCCTTTGCAGAAATATGTCCAGATTGTTAATTGTCCTATATTCTGCTATCTCAACTGGGAATTTTCTAATCATTGAACTATTTTTGTCTTATATATTTGTCTGAAATGATTTTTTTCCGCATTTACAGAAATAAATTCATTTAAATGCATAATGCATTTACATTATCTGCAGAAATACAGTAGTATTTCTGCACATATTAGTGTGTTTAATCTTTTATGAATTTTTTAAGCACTGTATTTGTGCATAAGTCGTGACAAAAACCCTAGCCCTTTCAGGGAGATTGTAAGTGGCTCCCGTAAACATATAAAATCTATTCTCCTCTGCTTTTTTTTTTTTTCATGTACTTTTGCATGTAGGACTTTGTAAATTCCTTGCACAAGTAACAGAATTTCTTATTTACAGCTGTCTAGCTGCCAAATGTCTGGGGCTTTTTTGCCTTGGGCAGCTAAAGTAGGATCCTCAGGGATTTTATTCTGTACTTGGTTGTTGAATGAAACTAATCTGACAAATATTCAAACTCATCTATTTGTCCTTTTACACAGCAAAATCCATGGATGAGTTTGCTGTTGAATACAAAGTTATTAATCCCAAAGCAATTACTATGGGACAGTTGTATGGCAGTTTTGATCCTGTAAGCCATGAGTGGAGCGATGGAGTTCTTGCAAATACCTTCAGGCAGCAAGCAACTTCTACCACAGATGATCGGAAGTGGATTATTTTTGATGGCCCGGTGGATGCAGTTTGGATAGAGAACATGAACACTGTGCTGGATGATAATAAAAAGGTAGCCTGATTTTTGCCAATAAGCTCGTTCTTGAATATACATACTTTATTTTAGGAGTAGGAATATTGTTACCATGTTAGTCAAAGGAGGTGTGAGGCTCAGGAAAGGCTAATGTGCTTAAAAACATTGCTTTTTCCCCCAATTATATGAGTGGGTTTAGTAGATGATTAAGCTGTTACTTACTGAACTTGCTTAAATTACTTAGTGAATAAATTAATAATAAAAAAAAAAAGCTTCAGGTCATAACTGCTTTTCCTTGCAGAGTTATTTAAAGTTAGAGCATTGTTCTCCATGTCTCTGAAAGCCATTACAGTAACACATGGAAAAGCTGAGACAAGGTTAGAAAATGTCCTGTGCTGTAAGAATGCAAATGAGTGCGTGAGGAGTGACACTAAATTGAATGTTCAGTGATTTTGACAAGCATTGCTTTGGCTGGATGATCAGCACTGACATCACTAGATCATGTTTATGTGATGCTCTTCTTCTAGCTATGCTTAATGAGTGGTGAAATAATTCAGATGAATTCAAAAATGAGTGTAATCTTTGAGCCAGCTGACTTAGAGGAGGCATCTCCAGCAACTGTCAGCAGGTAAGGTGAAAGAATTCAAACTTCAGCTGTCCCACCTTGCACATATATTCCTGTACCATAGCTGTTTGTTCTTCCCAGGTGTGGTATGATCTATATGGACCTGCAAGAATTAGGTTGGAAGCCACTGAAGGATTCCTACATGAGTACACTGCCTCCAAACCTACAGGAAGAACACCGAGAGCTGGTGCGAGACTTGATTTTTTTGCACAGATCTAATTAAGATTAACTTTAAGGTGATGTTCACAGTTTGCCCACTTGAAGGCAGCCATGCAGAATCAAAACTCTTTGAAGAACCTCCATGATTTCAAGGGTCCCAGGTCTCCTAGAGGCTGTTGTAAGTTATTTTGTAGTGATGAATGTCAAATGTCACAAGGAAAGTGCCTAAGAGCTGGAGATACTGTGAGTATTAGAAAAGCAATGTGGGAAAAACTGGAAGATTCAAAATGTTTTGAACTCATCCTTCTTCTAAGGCATTTAGAGTTTAGCTAAAAAAAATTGTTGTTGTTGTTATTAGCTTGATTTTCAAAGCCTTAGTCACCTTATGAATCTTTGGTAAATAGTCTTTCGTGTACTGGATTTCTTGCATGAATGAGAACTCTGTGTTGTGTATTGTAGTGTGTCTTCACTGTAGATGCAAATAAAAGTAGGTGTTGGTGAGAATCAGCTTTTAATTTAATAAAAATTAAAATTCTCTTTTTTTTGGGCATTAAAATCTAGTAAAATAATCAGAATAATAATTGTCCACAATAGGATTTGAGCTGGAGAAAACTTTGATTTCTGTGATTTGACAAAACACCCTTTGAGTTTTTGCAGGAAATTAGAACTAAATTATAAAGAAGTACCAAGACTAGAAGAGCTCTTCATTGACAATTTTCTTAGTTCATCAAAGCAAAATAATTACTCCTTAACCAGCAGACAGCTTTACCCTTTAGAGCATCTTCTTTCCCTGGGAAAAGGCTAGGTCATGATTCCTTTCTTGTTTTCCTGTTTGCATTCATGGAGCAGATACCATGAGCCATGGTTGGTATCTACATGCATGCTATGGCACTCCCACCAGTACCAGCGAGTTCCAGCTTTCTAGAATTTATACTGTGGCACAGTGTCTGTGCTGGTTCCTGTGTTTTTTAAGGGAAGTTTAAGCCCTTTTCTTTGATTTTGTTGGAATGATTTTCTCATTGCCTGAGCAAAGCAGTGGCCTCCCTAGTCTGCTGTGCTGTCTGGGTTAGTAACTGGGTGACAGAATTGCTGCTGAAAACTTCTCTGACTAGAAGCAACTTGTTTTCGCCATCAGATAATGACAGTGTGACTTTATGATCACTTAATTACTACCTCGCACAGGTCCCTTCCTTACCTCCCCTCTGCCAACTTGAATAGTTTCTGATGCCTTATGTTTTATTGAGAGAGAACTGAGGAATAGTGGGAAATGTGGCAACTTGTGCATTATTTCAAAGCCATTTGTTTTTCTCCTGGTAGGTCAATGACATGTTTATGTGGCTAGTCGATCCCTGTTTAGAGTTCATTCGCTTTAATTGCAAAGCCATTGTACAGATGTCTTCTATTCATCTGAGTTACAGCTTGATGAGACTCTATACTTGTCTGCTTGGTAAGTACTATAAGCCTTATTCTTTTTATTAATTTCTTTTTCTCCTGCTGTGTCCCATGCCAAGATGTAGTTTGTCAGATGCAAGGATATGCCAAAGGAATTCCTTACTGTTGGGATCATACAATGCACTTGGTGATCTCACTGATCAGTGTTAATAATAGTTCTTTGCCTAGCATAAGAGCTTTCACATTTGGACACTGGTGTAATTACAAAACTGAGCATGATCTTGTGAGTCTATTTCGTATATTCTACTTGCTGCTTGCTAGCATCTGAAGAAAAGAACCTTTTATTAGGACCCTTCGTGAATATTTTTTTTTCTCAATTATTTTCATTTGTAAACAGTATTTTGCAGAGGCATTTTCACTCTGTACATTGGCTTTGTTCCAGTGAGGACAATGCTCTGACTTTGTCTCAGAATACTTTTGCAGAAATGCATATTGAATTGGGATTTGTAGTTATTCCTGCCATTTCACTAAATTTCAAAATATCTGTTTTAGATGAAATAAGCCAATCTGAGGAAGCTGAGAAGCCAAGCATGTCTACTCAGCAAATCATGCTGTGGCTGCAGGGTCTTTTCCTTTTTGCTTTGGTTTGGACAATTGGTGGGATCATCGATGCAGACAGCAGGAAGAAATTTGATGTGTTTTACCGCAACTTGCTAATGGGAATGAATGATGAAAACCCACGCCCTAATAGTGTGAAGATTACCAGAAACAATATCTTCCCAGAAAAAGGTGCTTCTGCATAACTGTACTTGCCTGGCCTTTTATAAAGCTGTAAGAAAACTCACAACTTCAAGGGAGAATAGAGTCCCTGGCAGATGTTAAATCTGCAGCGGAGCCACCATCTGCCAAGACTTGGTCTGGGCAGTTGGATGTTCTTTCCTGGCTCTTTTAACCAGGAGTAGCATATGCCTCATGTTGTACTCAAATAATGTAGCTGAATCTGACCTAAAATAATTTGGTGATGATAATGGTGGGGGGGTGGGTATCTTGTATACTGGAAAGCCTTTATTATCTTACAGTGTTGGATGTCTCACACTAAAATGGTTGAAGTTTATTTTTATTCTTTTAATCATTGGTTTTTCCTGTGCTGTGTTTTTCAATCAACAGGAAGTGTTTATGATTTCTATTTTCACAAGCATGGCAGTGGGCACTGGAACATGTGGACTGACTACATCACAAAAGAAGAGCAAGTTATTCCCCCAGGGGCTAAGGTTCTCACTGATATTTTTCATTATAGAAAATAATTATCTGACTAATGCCCCTCTACTCTGCTCTCCTGAGACCTCACTTGGAGTATTGTGTGCAGTTCTGGTGTCCTCAACATAAAAAGGACATGGAACTGTTGGAACAAGTCCAGAGGAGGGCCACGAGGATGATCAGGGGACTGGAGCACCTCCCATATGAAGATAGGCTGAGAAAGTTGGGGCTGTTCAGCCTGGAGAAGAGAAGGCTGCGTAGAGACCTCATAGCAGCCTTCCAGTATCTGAAGGCGGCCTATAGGGATGCTGGAGAGGGACTCTTCATTAGGGACTGTAGTGATAGGACAAGGGGTAATGGGTTAAAACTTAAACAGGAGAAGTTTAGATTGGATATAAGGAAGAAGTTCTTTACTGTAAGGGTGTTGAGGCACTGGAATGGGTTGCCCAGGGAAGTTGTGAATGCTCCATCCCAGGCAGTGTCCAAGGCCAGGACATAGCCTTGGGTGGCATGGTTTAGTGTGAGGTGTCCCTGCCCATGGCAGGGGGATTGGAACTTGATGATCTTAAGGTCCTTTCCAACCCTAACTATTCTATGATTCTATGATTATTTAGATCAGAGAAAGCAAGGAAAGAGACTTTAGATGGAGAGCAGTACTGAGAGTCCTGGATTCCCTCCATTTCAGAATAGGTGTACTCACATTCTGGTGATAACTGTGAACTGAAGTGTAGCAGAGCAGACACCTATGCACTTCTATTCTGAGGGTGGAATTTCAGGGTAACTTAAGCGATGTTGCTCAGCTTTTCATTACATTGTAGTTGCAACTGTCTTGTCTATTACATACATGAGAGATGTAAGATTGCATTTAATTCTGCTGTCTCAAATCTTTTCTGGGTAAGTGGTGGATGAAGAAGAGAAAATTTTTCCATAGCACTGTTCCTTTCTCCTTGCACAGTAGGGGATCAGAATTAAACCATACTTTGCAGTTCTCTTTCTGAGCTTCATGCAGTCAGTGAACCATAACATAGATAATACTAATTGTGCTATTTACTGTATAAACACTGAACAAAAAGTGGAGCCATACTGTCTACCAGAACCTTGTTATGGCCCAGGTTTTCAGAGAAAACAATTTTAAAAAAGTGCATTTGCACTGCAGGCTTCCTGCAGATGCTTGCAAATATTCATGTTGATTAAGGTATTGGATGTTTGGTTTCCATGTGCTATTTTACTTTCTTGTGTAACAGGTATCAGAGCTGATCATTCCAACAATTGAAACTGCCAGACAGATGTTTTTTCTTAAAACATATGTTGAGCATAATGTTCCTTTGCTTTTTGTGGGTCCTACTGGCACTGGAAAGACAGCTATAACAAACAGTTTTCTACTACAACTTCCAAAGGAAAAATACGTGCCAAACTTCATCACCTTCTCTGCAAGAACCTCTGCTAACCAAACTCATGATATGATTATGTCCAAGCTGGACAGAAGAAGAAAAGGATTCTTTGGACCCCCTTTGGGGAAAACAGCTGTAATATTTGTGGGTAAGACAGTTTTTTCAGGGTTTTTATCTAATTTTAATTCTGGCTTAAGGCAAAGGTAGTGATTCACTGAGACTAGTAATTTTGGATTGCTCTAGTGCTCTTTGGTTTTTTTTCAGGCATCCAAAGAAGGATTAGCACTGCCCCCTGCTGAAAGCTTTCTAGCTATGTTAGTGTTGCAGTGTGGCATGAAATAGAATGGCTAACCGCACTAAGTTAAACCATCATCCCACAGCCTAAGTATGGCTGTGAAGTATGATGTATGATTAGTTTAATGGAAAGCAAGAATAGCAAGACACAAACTTTTTCTACCTCTAGTTCAGTTATTGTTTTCTTCTTGGCTTTGAAAGAAAGTTTCTAATTCCAAAACATTGAGGGATTTTTTTATTCAATGTCTGCGCTCTCCGTAGATGACTTAAACATGCCTGCAAAGGAAGTGTATGGAGCCCAGCCACCTATTGAGCTTCTCAGACAATGGATTGATCATGGTTACTTCTATGACAAGAAAGATACATCCAAGATTAATATCGTAGATACGCTGCTGATTTCAGCTATGGGTCCACCTGGAGGAGGCAGGAATGATATTGCAGGTAAGAAATATGTTGGTATGGCAAATAGTTATCTAACTGACTGTAAATGCTAACTTTTATCTACATACAGACTGCTACATTCATCTATTACTTGTAAGCCTACAGAGATATTCTTTGGCTGTGTCATTCCAAATAGAAGTCTGTATTCTCAAGGTCAGATCTGTACCTTTTGTGGGTGAGTTTAATCAATATTAGAAACAATGTTTTTCATGTTTATTATGAACTGTGAATGATTAAAATAATTCTAAAATTAGAGAATCAGACACTTTCTCCATTTTCTATTCTTTGGAAAAGGGAGGGAATACATCTTCTTGCCAAATCTTTATGGCATTTCCCTTCTGAAATTGTATCTCCTGCTGCTGGAATAGGCTGCCTGCATTTACTTACAAGCATGTTTCCTGCAAGTCCATGATTCCTGTCATATCACCATAAGGGAGGTTATATTTTCCAATGAAAGTTACATCTGTATAACCCTAATGTAGCTACCGCTTACACCATTATAAGGCACTTCATGGTACTTTGCTTGATATAAACACTAAGACAGGTATAACTGTATGTGCTCTGAGGAGGCTTTATTAAAATAACTATTTTGATGTAGCTAAATTTGTTAAATTTGCTAGTGTATAAACTTATACTTCTTTTTACATGAAACACAGTAACAAGATACTTGATTTTGTAAAGTTTTACTGTGTTGTATCATAATCAACAGGGCTAATGGAAGCTGAAATTTAAATTTGGGTAATAGTGGACTTGTAATGGAGATTCATGTTTTTCATATTAAAAATATTTACTCTAAGTGAAATACAGGTATGAAATATAAATTAGTTTATATTTCTTCTGCATCACTGTTGGAATTTGCCAGAAACAAAATCATGGAGCTTGAGCCAGATTCAGATGTTGTTTGAGTGGCAGTCAATCCTAGAAAAGTGTTTGGGCTTTCCTAAATCTTTCTGCCTGTTTTTGTATGTATTACAGGACGCTTCACACGGCACTTGAATATTGTATCTATCTGTTCTTTTGATGATGAAATATTAACCAAGATTTTTAATGCAGTTGCTGATTGGCACTTCAGCAAAGGCTTTGAACCTGTGTTTCTGAGGTAATGTGACGTATTTCCTTTAACACCTTGGAAATCTTTTCTCCTGCAATTTATCTGCAGAAGTTAAAATTGTATCTCCTTTCCTTCTTCAGGCTGGGTAAGATGATGGTTCAAGCGACAATGGTGATTTATAAAATGGCAGTTGATAATTTTCTCCCAACTCCCTCAAAATCCCACTATGTCTTTAATCTACGGGATTTTTCCAGGGTTATTAAAGGAGTGCTGCTCTGTCCACACACTCATTTGCAAGTAAGTTGTCATTTTATTATATTACTGTAAGAAAGAGCAGTAGAAAGAGTAAATTATTTGTATAATATCAGCAAGTAAATGTCTCAAAATACATGAACTGTGATTTCAGTACATTTACAAGGTTTTAAATCAGGATAGTTACCAAATACCTTGCTATGTATTTTGTCTGTCTCTGGAGGAGACAGGTGACATTTTTGTTAATATTCTTTGCATGTATTATAGTTGGGCTCAGAGGTCCTAATCCCATCTGTTAAGGCCTGTACATCAAGACAGGCAGTCCCATCTCTTGAACTTGCAAACTAAATATGCAAAGGAAACAACTGTGGTGGGAAAAGACTCAGTATTTCTGTTTTAAAAATGTCAAGCTCATCACTGAGCATAACTGAATAATTTTGCCCCGAGTTTGCCTGTGTCATGGTTTAAGCCCAGACAGTAACTGAGAACCATGCAGCCACTTGCTCACTCTCCCCCTTTTCTCCCCCTGTCCAGGAGGATGGGAAGGAGAATCAAAAGAATGTAAACCCCATGGGTTGAGATAAGAACAGTCCAGTAACTAAAATATAATATAAAACTACTACTACAACTAATAATAATAATAATGGAAGTAACCAGGGTGGATAATATAAAACTAAAAAGGGAAGGGAAAAAAACCTCAATAAACACAAGTGATGCTCAATACAATTGCTCACCACTCACTGATACCCAGCCTGACCAAAGCAGTGATCTAGCCCTTCTGGGTGACTGCCCCCCTCCCCCCCAGTTCATATACTGGGTATGGCGTGCTGTGGTATGGAATACCCCTCTGGCTAGTTTTGGTCAGGTGTCCTGTCTCTGCTTCCTCCTGGCTTCCCGTGCCCCTCCTCACTGGCAGAGCCTGAGAGACTGAAAAGTCCTTGTTTGGGGTAAGCATTACTGAGCAACAACTAAAACATCAGTGTGTTATCAAATTTGTTCTCAGACTAAAGCAGAAAATGCAGCACTGAACCAGCTACTAAGGAGAAAAGTAACTGTTACAGCTGTTACAACTGGACAGCTTGTTGTCACAAACAACAAATGAATACTGATACACATATTTGATTTTCATCCTACTTTTTTCATCAATTTTCACTAAAATGTGAGGATAAAGGAGTTTTGAAAGTTTCATTTCTGTTGAGGGAATATTTTTGGTGCAGAAACAGAAGAAAATGGCTACAGGCTATTCAGGGGAAATCTTAACCAGCAATAGTTTCAAGCAGAGTTAGGGTTAGAGCCCATAAGCTGTATCTTTGACAGATTTATTCCTCACTTTATGTTGGGAGGCTGGGGAGATTTGATACAGTAGAGAAAAAAGCTTTGATGTAAGAATCCCAGTTTGTATTGGCAGGTTGGAAAAGATGGTAACTAGGTGAGGAATCCAGTTAAGTTAGCAGATGCTGGGCCATGTGCTGAATGGCTTAGAATTGAAAGATTCCCACTGGGTTTAGTACAAGATAGAGCAGAGTCCAGATGGACATTTCTACCCTTTTGGTGTTTAACAAATCCTGCCTGAGCCGTATTTACTGATTTTCTTGTATTTTCATTTTCAGGATGGAGATAAACTGATCAGACTTTGGATTCATGAGGTCTACCGAGTTTTCTATGATCGCTTAGTTGATGACAAGGACAGGAAAGTATTCTTTCAAATGGTACAAGAGACAACAACAAACAGCTTCAAGCAGGACTTTAATAAGGTATTTATGGGTAATGTGCTGGGATGAAAATGAAACTGATGCATTTTCAGAAATTCTTAGACATTGAGATTACATTAGTATGGGACAAATTTTGAATTATTTCAATCACTGCATTTAAAAAGTATGGATGGTCTTATCTTCAGTATGGAGTATTATCATAGTCTCAGTCAAGTTAATATAAGTTACTTCATACCAGAATGATTCATAAATTCAAAAGGATTCTGTGTTGGTACAGAGGACTATCTGGAATAAAAGTCTAACACAGTTTTTATCTGTGATATCCATAATATTGTGTGAGCAGTACTACTACTACAGTAGGTGTAGTGGCTTTTCTGAGAAGCCTTTTGGGAACTTGCCCTGTATTTGACAGCAGAAATGTCTCTGTGAAGTATGCATATGTGGAAACTTGCATGTCAACCTACAGCATATTCCCCATTTAAGTGTTTTTTTGCATGTGGGTTGTGAAGGGTTATTTTTGTTTGGTTTTGGATTCTTTTCCCCAAACTAAGGTAATAACAAGAATAGCTGGAAAGCAGTGTTTCCCACAGTAATACTACTATGTAGACAAGAATTATTATGACTTTAAGGAAAATAATTCTCTAATAGTTTGAATTATCTGTTGATTCTTGTCTTTTCCTTAGATACTGAGCCATCTCTCACCCACTGAAAATGTCTCTGATGATAATATTCGCAGCCTGTTCTTTGGAGATTATTCAGACCTGGACACTGATGTAAAAGTGTACGATGAAATCACAGACTTAGAGCAACTGACAACTGTGATGGAATACTACCTTGAGGAATACAACAATATCAGCAAAGCACCTATGTCCTTAGTTATGTTCAAGTTTGCTATTGAACATATCTCAAGGATATGCAGAGTATTGAAACAGGATAATGGACATCTGTTGTTGGTGGGCGTTGGTGGGAGTGGTCGACAAAGTGCTACCAAGCTGGCCACCTTCATGAATTCCTTTGAACTCTTTCAAATTGAAATTACGAAGTCCTATGGAGTCAGTGAATGGAAAGATGATGTTAAACGAGTGATGCTGAAAGCAGGTGTTAGTAACAAGAATGTGTCCTTTTTGTTCTCTGATAATCAGATAAAGGATGAAGCCTTTGTAGAAGATATCAACATGCTTTTAAATTCCGGTGATGTGCCTAATATCTTTGCAGCAGATGAGAAAGCTGAAATTGTTGAGAAAATGCAAGCTGCAGCAAGGATGGAGAACAGGAAAATCGAAACCATTCCCCTTGCTATGTACAATTTCTTTATTGAAAGGGTGAAGAAAAATTTGCATATTGTCTTAGGTCTGTATACAGTGAGTTATTTCTCAGAGTGTTTTTTTTATTAGGCTTAGGTTTTTCTGCTTCCTAACTGCAAACAAACTTAGGTAACAATCATGTGGGGTGTTTTTTTTTTTTAGCCATGAATCCTGTTGGAGATGCATTTCGGAATCGATTACGAATGTTCCCTTCACTGATAAACTGCTGCACCATCGACTGGTTCCAAACCTGGCCTACGGATGCTTTGGAAATGGTTGCTAACAAGTTTTTAGAGGATGTTGAACTGGAAGATGATATTAGAAAAGAGTATGAGTTTATCTATCAAGAAACATAAAAAGCAAATATTTATTCCCCTTCCTCTTGCACCCCCAACATAGTTGATCAGGAAGGTGTCCTTATAAATGGACAAAGCAAAGCCAATTCTGTGATTTCAGTGCAAGTCAAAGAGACCTAGATAAAAGTATTTGATATTTCTGAAAATCAGGCCACTCTTGAAAATTAGTGTAAAATATTTCTTATAATGGGTAAAAAACTTCTAAATTCTGCCTTCACTAGCACTAATATAATTTGATAAGTTTAGCATAATTTCCTCATAATTAGCATGAAGACAGGTTGTATTTTTATAGTAATGTGGAAAAACTTTCTCTAGGGTTGTGTCAATGTGCAAATATTTCCAAGAAAGTGTGGGAGAGCTCTCCGTCAGCTATTATGCTACACTGCAAAGACACAACTATGTGACACCAACTTCATACCTAGAACTGATTCTTACCTTTAAGACTCTGCTGAATAGCAAAAGGCGAGAAGTTGACACGATGAGAACTCGTTATCTTATAGGACTTGAAAAACTTGACTTTGCAGCCTTACAAGTAAGTTTCAGATGAAAACACTGAATGTGTGCCATGTGCATACTTTAGTATGCGGGTCTGTATAAGCTCTTTAAAACATAAAAATAAACCATCAAATTCCATATTCACCATAGTCATGATGCTATTGATCATTTTCTATAGAAAGCCAGCAGGAAAAATTAGATTATGGTTTAGTCATTTAAAAAAAAAAAATGATATGTAAGTTTGGATTATAGCACTTAATAGAAAGCTAAATGAAATTGATGTCACTCATTAAATGTTGAAGGAATAAACTTTACAAATTTTATTATTTTCTTGAAACTTTATATGGGGAATCCATGACTCGGCATCCTAGTACCCTTTCAAAATAGAGGGGAAGTTAAAGAATGTTGTAAGGCAATAATAAACATTAATTCCTGAGTAGATTCCTAGCAGGGTTCTGGGTAAATAACCCCCTTATTGAACCCATGTGATCCAGGGATTGGTCTTTCCAAGATGCAAAGGGGCTTCCAGATACTTGCTAGATGAAGGACATTCAGTTTACAGTTGTTATTGTCACTAATTCTCAGTTTCCTCACAAGTTTCTTTTGGTATATCCAAACAGTTTTCCACCTGTACAATAAAGGATTATTTGGGGTTCCTTAAACTGAAACTGTGATGAAAAAAATACAATTAATAGTTTATTTCTCATTATTGAAATCAAGTGGATGATAAAAAAGCGAGAGTATTGCATGGATGATAAAAAAAAAGAATCCTTTAAAAATAATCTATTCTGTTAAATGAAACAGCTCTTAGTAAAAATAGGCTGGAGAACTATTTTAATAATTATTAAAGCAAATGTCCCTTTTTAGATTGTATGAATATAGTGTCTTCTGATCTTTCTTTCTAAGACATCAAGATGTGAAATTCATGCAGTGTTTACACAGGTTTTCTTCTTGATTTCCTGTTCTGTTCATCAGGTTGCAGAGATGCAGAAAGAACTGTCTGCCCTTCAGCCTGAACTGATTAAAACTTCTGAAGAAACAGACAAAATGATGGTCCGTATTGAAAAGGAAACAATTGAAGTAGATGCAAAAAAAGAACTAGTGTCAGCAGATGAAAAAGAGGCTAATGAAGCAGCAGCTGCTGCTAAAGCTATTAAGGTAGTGTACAAGGGTTCAAGCCTGGTTCCAAGTCTTTCCAAGTAAGTGGGAGTTGTGATGATGTGTTAATTGAATGATCCAAGCTCTTAAAGTAACAAAGTTGCAAGAGATGATGAATGACGTGATCCTCATATAAACAACGTAAATTTTGGCTGTTTGGACTATGACTGTATCTCACAGTACTGCATAGCTTCCCTTTCTAGTTCACATTCCAAGAACTATAGTTCTTATTTCTGTACTAACACAATCTCCTTCTCAACAGATTGAGCAATGACATTAAACTGTTTCAGGTGCAAAGACAATTCACTTAGAGTTAGCTGAGATAATTTGGCATAGTGCTGCATGGAACCCTATTAGGCATAACCTAAGAGATATTGCCATAGCCATTTGCCTGTAGCACAGAATTTCCTGTGGGAAGCTGCAGGACTCCTCAGTATTTTTTGTAACTCGTTGAAAATGTCAGTAATAGAGAAGCTAGATAATTATTGACATCTGACTGCATGGTTAAGAATTTTAGCTACACATTATATATATATTTACCTGATCAGCACAGATCTAACCAAGAACAACTGTATCTAACTTACATTTTAATTTTCCTTCTCAGAGCAGAGAGATTTTGATCTTGAAAGCTTGTATGGCTTTTTCAGCTATCATTTCAGCTTATGGAAGTAACTAATTTCTCTACAAACCTTCTTTCTTTAAACTGTGCAGAGAAATCTTGTTTTCTCTCCAAGAAACAGTGTTGCGAACAGTGTTTTTATTAGGTACTTAGAAGCAGAGAAGGTTCTCTTGAGGCTGTGCTGTAGTGGGTTAATCAGTTTGCAAACCTGGTATTGTATAAAGGTCTACAGGCTTCTGCCCTATATCTTAACAGGATGAATGTGAAGGAGACCTTGCTGAGGCCATGCCAGCTTTGGAGGCAGCACTTTCAGCTCTTGATACTCTGAATCCTTCAGACATCTCTCTTGTAAAATCCATGCAGAATCCACCTGGTCCTGTTAAGCTCGTAATGGAGAGTATCTGTGTCATGAAGGGAGCTAAACCAGAGAGAAAGCCTGATCCAAATGGCAGTGGTAATTATGCAGTATTTGTTATCCCTGTTCTGGGAATGCTTGGGGTACTGCTGTGTTGTACTAGTGAAGTCTTTCTGGTGTGAATGCAGCCATGTGCACTAGAAGTGCATTTTGCTAGCAGTTACTTAAAACCGCACTGAATAGCTGAGAACTGCTTTTGCCATTGTTAACATATTGCCCTTGCTTGACACTGTTGTACAAGCTTTATAAATACAATCGCAGTCACTAGCACAAAGTCATCTCTGACTTGCTTTGACCCAGTCTTGAGATTTGCACTGTCTTGAGGAACACCAGGAACTGGAGGTGTGCTGGGCACCATTCACCTGTATTTTCCCCTCTAATTCCTGTTACCAAACTTCATGAGTTATGCTGGGAAGCAGAATTCTAGCTATACCCCTGACATAGCCAACTATTCCAACAAGCTCTTTCTGTGTGATTTATGTTGTTATCATAGAATAGTTAGTGTTGGAAAGGGCCTTAAGATCATCTAGTTCCAACCCCTCTGCCATAGGCAGGGACACCTCACACTAAACCATGCCACCCAAGGCTATGTCCTGGCCTTGGACACTGCCAGGGATGGAGCATTCACAGCTTCCCCCGGCAACCCATTCCAGTGCCTCACCACCCTTACAGTAAAGAATTTCTTCCTTATATCTAATCTAAGCTTCCTGTTTAAGTTTTAACCTGTTACCCCTTGTCCTGTCAGTACAGTCCCTAATGAATAGTCCCTCCCCAGATTATCATTGGAGTGCACAGGATTTGCAAGGTAGGAGAGGAAAGAGACCTTTTTCTTTCACTTCCTTCTACTTTAGGCCCCAACAGTTTATCACTTCATAACTGAAAATAACTCTATAAATATCTTTCATCCCAAATTGTCTTATCTAGATCAGGAAGGAATGTTTTCACATAGTTGCTGCTTTAACTAATAAACTGTGCTAAGAAAGACTTCATAGTAATGTTTCCCTTATTTTGGTTGGTTGATTTAGAATTAATATGCAATTAATAAATATGTCATAAGTTAGTGATGCTGAAGTTTCTATCTGAAATTCCTTATGTAATGGTTTTCAAAAACTAGTTAACAGTGCTTAACTGGTGGTTATAGTAAAATATCACTCCAAAATCTTTGATGTTAATTGTTTGCATTGTGTTTAAAGTTGTTTTGTTGTTTTTTTTTTTTTTTTTCAGTTTGGGTATGTATGTTTTAAGCCTGATTTTAGTATCATTTGCAATATAGGTAAAATGGTAGAAGACTACTGGGGGCCATCTAGAAAACTTCTTAGCGATCTGAAATTCCTGGAGAGCTTAAAGACATATGACAAAGATAATATTCCTCCTGCTATAATGAAGAAAATTAGAGAGAAGTTTATTGATCATCCAGATTTTCAGCCAGCTGTCATAAAAAATGTCTCATCTGCCTGTGAAGGACTATGCAAGTGGGTACAAGCCATGGAGGTATACGACCGTGTTGCAAAAGTGGTTGCCCCAAAGCGTGAACGTTTGAAGGCTGCAGAAGAATTACTGGAGGTTCAAATGCAGAAGCTACAAATCAAACAAGCAGAACTTAAGGAGGTAGTTGATCGCCTCCAAGCTTTGAATGATAAGCTTGACAACATGATTGGACGGAAGAAAGAATTAGAAGATAATATTAAACACTGCTCACAAAAGATTGTGAGAGCTGAAAAGCTGATTAGTGGTCTTGGTGGAGAAAAAGAAAGGTGGACAGAAGCTGCACGATTATTAGGAATTCGGTACATAGACCTTACAGGAGATGTGTTGTTATCATCAGGAACTGTGGCTTATCTGGGAGCCTTTACTGTTGATTACCGCCTAAAATGTCAGCAGCAATGGCAGGTCCTTTGTAATGAAAAGAACATACCATGCTCCAGTTATTTTAGCTTAAGTAATACGTTAGGGGATCCAGTCAAAATCCGTGCATGGCAGGTTGCTGGATTACCAGTTGATTCTTTTTCCACTGACAATGGCATAATTGTTTCTAACTCAAGAAGATGGGCTTTAATGATAGATCCTCAAAGGCAAGCTAATCAGTGGGTAAAAAACATGGAGAAAACTAACAGGCTGTCAGTTATCAAATTATCTGGCACACATTATGTGAGGGTATTAGAAAATGCTATTCAGCTTGGAACACCAGTCTTGCTAGAAAATGTTGGTGAAGAACTAGATGCTTTCATAGAACCCATTTTATTAAAGCTAACGTTTAAACAACAAGGAGTAGAATACATTAAATTAGGGGAAAATATAATTGAATATTCAAGAGATTTCAGGTTTTACATAACAACCTGCTTAAGAAATCCTCATTATCTTCCTGAAGTGGCTGTGAAAGTTTGTCTAATCAACTTTGTGATTACACCTTCGGGTCTTCAGGATCAACTTCTTGGAATTGTAACTGCAGAGGAAAAACCTGAGCTAGAAGAAAAGAAAAATAAACTTATTATAGAAAGTGCAGCCAACAAGAAACAACTAAAGGAAATAGAAGATAAAATCCTGGAGATCCTTTCCACTTCAGAAGGAAATATCTTAGAAGATGAAACAGCAATTACTGTTTTGTCTTCATCCAAAGTTTTATCTGAAGAAATCTCTGAAAAGCAAAAAATTTCCTCTATAACTGAGATGCAAATAGATACTACTCGAATGGGGTATAAACCGGTTGCTGTTCATTCAGCTGTTATCTTCTTCTGCATCTCTGATCTGGCAAACATTGAACCTATGTACCAATATTCGTTAATTTGGTTCATTAATGTGTATGTTCAGTCTATTGCTAAAAGCAAAAAGAGTGAAGATCTAGAAGAGAGGATTAAAAATATAATTGAGCATTTCACAGTGAGCATCTATAATAATGTGTGTCGTTCACTGTTTGAAAAGGATAAGCTGTTATTCTCCTTGCTTCTGACAATAGGTATTATGAAGGGAAAAGACCAAATAGATGATGAGGTTTGGCATTTCCTACTGACAGGAGGTGTTGCTCTTGATAATCCTCACCCCAATCCAGCTCCAGATTGGCTATCTGAGAAATCATGGGCTGAGCTCGTACGTGCATCTAGTCTGACAAACCTGCATGGACTAATGGAACATATAAGAGATAATTCCTCAAAGTGGAAACTAATCTATGACTCTTCAAGACCCCATGAAGAAGCCTTCCCAGATGCTTGGAGCACACTGATGGGGTTAGATCGCTTGGTTATTCTCAGATGTTTGAGACCGGACAAAATTATTGCAGCAGTGCAGGAGTTCATTGTGGAAAATATGGGAAGAACATTTATTGAACCACCTACTTTTGATCTTGGAAAAAGTTACAGTGATTCAAATTGCTGTGCCCCTTTGATTTTTGTATTATCACCAGGTGCTGATCCTATGGCAGGTAAGATTGTTATCTTTTTTTCATCTAATTAAATGTCTCTGAGACTAAACTGCTAATACTGTATTTTGATCTTTAAAGTGTCATTAAAGTACAATACAGCAATGTTGGAATATCAAACATTTGCATCTGCCCTTGTAAAAAAGCAACAGTAAAATTGCTAGAGGGTGGAAGGAATGTAGCAGTGATTAAATGTCTAGGTCTCAGAGCAGCAATTTAGGATCTAACAGCTTGTAACATCCAGACCAGTTTATAATTTATGCTTGCAATACAATTCTTTCAGTGAGTGTCTGGGACTTGCTCCAGTCTTTGTTGCAGCCTCTCCTCCAGAAAGTTTCTTCCCTCTCAGTCACTAATTAAAGGGTGTATGTGACCACACTTAAAACCACATCTGTTAAATGTCCTTTAGCATATAACCACCCAGATTATTTTTAAACCTGTTTTTCTGCCAAGAGAATTGTCATGTGGAACCATACCTTAAGGATGTATTTCCAGGAGGTACTGGCTTTGATGGCAAAGCTGGAGCATTATTATTGACCAGATCTAAAGCTCCAGTTTACAACTCAACCCCCACAAGCAATTGTACCCACACAGCAGAGAGGAGAGGCTGGAACTGAGCACTCAGGACTAAAGGAGAGGACAGGCATTTAACCTTACTAGTTTTTGGTTTTGTTTTTTGTTAGTATTACTTTCTGCATCTAAATTTTAGCATATGCCTCAGAAACACAGTGACTAATACTATTTGATACTATTCTGGGTTATGAGGTGGATTTTTATCAATTTAATAAAATATTTATTGACTTTTGCCCTTTTATAGAAATAATGACATAACATAGACTTTGTCTTTGTTTGAATGTGTGAAACTTACCATCATAGGTTTGCTAAAATTTGCTGATGATGTTGGCATGGGAGGCGCAAGCATTCAGACCATTTCACTTGGACAGGGACAGGGCCCGATAGCAGCAAAAATGATTTCTCAGGCTATTACTGATGGAACCTGGGTAGTGTTGCAAAACTGCCACCTTGCAACTAGCTGGATGCCTGCTTTGGAAAAAATCTGTGAGGAAGTTATAGTACCTGAGAATACCAATGATAAGTTCAGGTAGGGGTTTTAATATTTTCCTCGTTTTAATGGGAGTACTGCTTATTTGCTGAAGACACTAGCAAAAAGAAATTAAACTTCCTTTGTGTGAGCAACTAAGTATAACATTCATGTCATTTATGTGCAATGGTAAAATAAACGTACTTAATTAGGATGTCATCTTCTTTATCTGTCCAATACAATCTGCTTTATTCCTTCATTTTAGAACAAATTTATATGTTGTTATTATAGTTAAGCAAGTAACAAGCCTTAGTTTTCTGCAGATCAATATTGAAGATTTGTCAACATTGATGATTTTTTATTATTTTTTTTTTTATAATGTGCTTTTTAAAATTCTTTTCAGGTTGTGGTTAACCAGTTATCCGTCAGAAAAGTTTCCTGTTAGTATCCTCCAGAATGGTATCAAAATGACAAATGAGCCTCCAAAAGGAGTGAGAGTGAACCTTCTTCGATCATACCTTAATGACCCTGTCTCTGACCCTGTGTTCTTTAACGGTTGCCAAAAGCCAGAAATGTGGCAAAAACTGCTGTTTGGCCTTTGCTTTTTTCATGCTGTTGTGCAAGAAAGGAGAAACTTTGGCCCGCTGGGTAAGGTTTATAATATTTTGCAGACTGTTTCAAAAAGCTCAGTAGTTTTGAAGTGCATTATTGGATCCTCTCTGTAAAAAGGCAGTACTGTTGTTAGCAACATTTCCAGAGGGCAATCTGTATTGAACAAGACGTAGTAATGTTTAAAAGCTGTTATTTGTAGGGATTCTTATTCAGGCAAAACTACTTTTAAAGTTACTAAAAGTATTACCCTGAGGGAGGACTAGAAAGTACCACTTTTTCAAGTAAATATATTACACAGTAGTTACATTAAATTGTAGCTTGCAATGTTATTTATTACTGTAGTTCTTACTAACCATCAAATCCAGTGCTGTTTTAAATTTTTGCAAGTAAAGGTTTTTCTTCCTCAATTCTGCTTTTGTTACTTACGTGTATACTTTGTTTTAACAAAGCTAGCGCTTATGTTTACTTGGCATGAAACAAATGCATATAGCTACAGTGTATTGTTTGTCAGACAACAGTGAAAAGATATGCATAAGAATCAGTGCCTCAGCTTTTTCTGAAATCTTGAGATATTTTGAAAGCTATATAGAATTTCTACATAAATGTAGAAATGTATGGAATTGTAAATTCAGTTTTTATAACTATAGAAAGCTTACACTCTCCACTGGTATACATAATGAAGTTCTCAGCCTTTCATTCTGACTGATTCTGTCTTAACAGGTTACAGTTCTGAAGTGTTATATTTTGACAGCTATTTAAATAAACACTAGTCTGCCACTATGAAGATATTTATTGCTTTAAAGTAAAAATATAATTTTTGTAAGTGATAAAGAAGTGATTTTCTAAAGAAACATCTACATTTTAATGTGACCAGCTGCTTGAGAGAAGAAGGATAGTTGCAGCAATAGCCCTTTTTTTTTCAGTTTGCACTAAGGTTATAGGTTTTTCTGAAGGATTCTCTTATGTGAATCATTCTCATGTGTGGTTGGTTTTTGGTTTGTTTTTTTTTTTTGTGCTGTTACTCTGAATGTTGCATACAAACAACATTAATAGATGGGTAAACTGAAAATTAAATCAGTCAATGAACTAAACCTCCTGTTCTCATTGTCTCCAGATAGCAACAGATTAGGTGAAAGCACTGAGCAGGTCTGTGTTCTACTTAAGGTAAAAAAATGTGATGCTAGAATGCCTGTGGTTATGTTTTAATTATATAGAACGATGGTAACAGTGCCTTAGGATACAATATTGTTATGGAATAATATTGTCCCTTGTGCAATAAATAGCCCAGTAAATTCCAAAGCTACTTCTAGGTACTGTCTAGCAGCTGTTATCTTCAGCTCTGTAGTAACAGTAGAGTTACCATACCATCATTTCCTGAGCATGGTTGTCAGTACAGTGCACTATTGCCCCATCTTTTCTGAATTAAACAGGTTGGAATATTCCGTATGAGTTCAATGAATCTGACCTCAAAATTAGTATGAGACAGATCCAGATGTTTCTGAACGAATATGAAGAAGTCCCATTTGAAGCTCTGATGTATCTTACAGGTACAGGCATTACACTGTCTAATACATGTTGACTTTGCTAGACACTTTCAGCTGGTGGAGTGATAAACTGATGTGTTCTTGACAAACTGAGTGAATTCCATTCAGGTTTACTTTATTAGCCTTGCACATACAGAGAAGTCGGAACCCAAATTCTCAGAGGCCCCTGCTTGGCTCATATATATGGGAACAATGACTAATGTTCCAGCATTCCTGCTGGTCATTGTTTCATATATGTAAAATAAAAACATCAATGGCCTCTGTTCCACCTTATCTGGTCAATATGATCCTGACAGAGTGAGCGCTGGCAGGTCACCAGAGGATGTGATAATACTCATGTTTAAAGATGGAGGTGTTGACCTCTGTAAATAACTTGTGGCTATTCAGTTCTATTTTTCTAGAAAGACAGCTGCTTCTTGGCATCTCCTTTGTCAACATTATAAACATTATTCCTGATTTTTTGCTAATATTATGATTACCTTTATGAAAAAGAATTTCAAGAGTCAGAATTAAAGCAATACCTGTGAGCTTTCAGTTGCTTTCTGTACTTTATATCAAGTGTAAACCTCCCCTCATTGCTTGCCCATTCATTGCTTAAATCTCTTCTGTGCAGGGGTATTATATGTTTATGATCCTTTTTTTTTCTATTTAATATGTACATAATCAGGTTAAGTTTGCATGAAAGGAAAAAGACAAGGATAGCACTGTTCAGATTTTGACAGCTCTAAAAATTCTCATGAGAATTTCAAGCAAAAGAGTTGTCATTTGAAACATGACCTTAGTTACTGTGGCATGTGTAGCAGTTTCTGAGACCAGCTTATAGTGTTTCTTAAGCCTTTCATCATCAAGACACAAATTTGGCCCAGTGGTGTTAAAGAGACTAATTTCCATTTAATCAATTGAAGCATAGGACCTAAAATCTTTGAAGATCCAGAGCTTTGGAACTTCAGCTTACTGGAGCTGTCCATTGTTATGAAACAATATTTATTTGTTTGTTAACTTTGAATTTTTCATCCTGGTTTTCTTTGTCCTTTCTCAGGGGAATGTAACTATGGAGGCAGAGTAACAGATGATAAAGACAGGCGTCTTCTCCTGTCCCTTCTTTCCATAGTCTACAGCAAGGATATGGAGCAGGACAAGTATATGCTTACAGCTGGAGATGACTACTACATACCACCACATGGTCCATATGAGGTGAGAAGATAACAGCTATAAATTCTTTTTGAGTTATTGGGAAAAAATCTTACCTACACTGTACTTTGATATGCCAAACACAACAAATAGAAAATAAAAACATAAGATCACAAAGCGATGCCAGAATATATCTTATGTATGAAATACAAATCTGGTACTTAATATTTAACACACACCAATGGAGATGTAGTGATCATCTGAAATCCTGATGTTTGATACAAAAAGCCACTGCTGTGCAGGTTTCCAGTACAGTTCTAGAAAGCCCATAGGAATCAGGCTTCAGGAATTTACAGGGTACTTCTGCACCCTCTTGCAACCACTTTTGCCTTGAAAGCAGTGATCAGGGTGAGGAGGTGGAATTGCACGAATGGTGGAATTGCTGACTCAGTTTTCATCCCTTTTTGCTCTTCTGACAACTGCACATACAGAGATAATATACGTGTAGCCTGCAGTTGTGAAAGTGATGCATACAGCATCCTACTCTCTTCCATGACTCCTACCAGCACTTCTGGTGTATTTATAATGTATATTCCTTTCCTTTGCTTTCTCTTGCTACTTTCATGAGGGTGGTAAGAACAACTCCTCTGTGCATTTTTGAAGCATTCAAATCTTTAATATTTTTCTCTGTGGACTGAGTAAGTCAATTCATGGTTGTGTTTACCTGAGAACTAATGTGTTTGATTGCAAATGGGAAGGTTCTGTCCAAATTGGGTTTACTGATCATTTATGAATATAGCACTGCATGATTTCTGGTATCTGAATGTCTCTTTTACAGTCTTACATTGAATACATACGAAATTTACCAATTATAACACACCCTGAAGTGTTTGGACTTCATGAAAATGCTGACATCACCAAGGATAACCAGGAGACTAACCAGCTTTTCCATGGAGTGCTCCTGACTTTGCCAAGAGAAGCAGGGGGAAGTGGAAAGTCCTCTCAGGTAATTGGGGAAAAAAAGATCAATTTACAAGCTCAAAAGATGCCCTTTCCTGTCTTTCTCTAAGGGTAATCCAGCACCTCTCATCACATGACTGTGGCACTGGGAGTAGATGTGAATGTCCCTATAGATAGATTTGGCATAGAAGAACCTCTAAAGATTGAAGATACCCTAATGACTTTGAATTCAATAGGTTAATAACGTACAACCCCACCTATCTTAGTAGAACATGCAGTTTGAATAAGAATGTTCCTTTCATATTTCACTTTTTAAAATAACAGTGAAGTACTTCACTTCAGTCATGGATTGTAGTTAGACCACAGTTAACAATCTGAGCTGGTAAAGCACCTCAAATCACATCCGTCTTTAGGCAGTTTTGAAAGTATGACATTTAATTCCAGTCTACAACTTCCAGTGATGGAGGTTCATGCGCTGGCCTGACTTCATCCAGCAGTGGTTGTATGATCATCCCTGCCATTCTCACTAGGGGACAGACGCCAGAGTGACAGGAAGTTATGTGAACTCATTCAGCCATCAGGCAGTCAATGTACACCTATTAGAGGCAAAAGTTGTCTTCCTGGTGAAGTCTGTGCTATAATGGTACTTCCAGTCTGTTATTACTCACTGAATGTTTGGTTTTTGAGATGTAATATTTTTGCTTCCCTTGCCTGCTTTAGTTTCTGTAGTCCCAAACATGTAACTGTGTTTGTGACTTGTGTGGCACAAAGCAGACAGTTTGGCAGAATACAATCACTTGGACACAGACCTCACTGTCACCTTACCCCTCCATGGGACCTGGTTGTGAAGATGTTGGGAATTTCTTCATCCTGTCCTTGCAGCTCAGGTTACTCAGGCCAATTCCATGCCCATTTGAGATAAATGACCCTTCAAGCCCCTCAGATTTGACATAGTATATTTTATACACAAGTGGAGTGTTGAAAAGTGGAACTGACAATAGACAATTCCTCATTTGCAGGGCTGTCTAGTGATCTTATTCGCTGATGCTATAAGTAAAGCTTCTTTCGTAGCTGGGGTCTTCCTATCATTTCTCCCATGCTTCATGCTTTGTCTTCTCCTTCATTGTAGCAGTAGTAGGATTGTGTTTGTCTGTTCTGCTGCCTATTTCCGTAGAAGTTGACGAAAACATTTTTGCAAATTAAATAGAAATTACTAACAAATTTAAAATGATTGAGAAGGGAAAAGGAGCAAGAAGGCACCTGCAGAGACAGACAGGATGTTGCACGGAGTAAGAGCATGTCAGCATTATTTCTTTAGAAAAATGGACTAAAATACATATGTTATTGTACAGAAAAAATATAAAATCTGTGGTGTTTTGTGAAATTTATTGAATAAAGATGGGTGAAAAAAAGGAAATACCTTATCACTGCAAAATTGTGCTTTCAGGAAACTGTTGAAGAGTTGGCACAGGACATCCTTTCCAAATTACCAAGTGACTTTGATATGGAGGTGGTCATGAAGATGTACCCAGTACTTTATGAAGAGTCGATGAATACAGTTCTTAGGCAAGAACTAATTCGATTTAACAGGTATGGCTCAGTGTTTTGTGTAGCACTACTAATACTGAAATATGCTTGTGTTTACCAGTGCTTAAGCAGTTATAAGCATTTTACAATACATTGTTCTTAACAAAGATTCTTCTTTGGATGCACCTTTAAAAAAGACTTGAAAGCTGCAGCTGACTACCTTAATATAGAAATAGTGCTTACATGCTTGGCGTATGAACTTAAATCACATTTGTGTTTGTCGTGTTGAGGTAGGACAGCATACTTTATTCTTTTTAAGTCATACCCAGGCCCCAGTGTTCACAGCACACTGTGTTAATCAGAGTTACAATCTTTAAAGCTCTTGTCACTTGATTTCTCTTGTCTAGAATGAGAATTTTCACTGTCTTTCATTTCTCTGTGTTTTTTTGTTTGTTTTTCTAAGTAGGAGTTTTGGTAACTACAGGTGAGGTAAGGATTTTCTGACAGGACATTTACCAGCTTTGATCAGCCCTTCATTCAAGTTGGACTCGGAGGCCTCTAGCCAGATAATAAGAAATAAATAATGAGATGACAATTTCTTTGTTTTATCTGAAGGCTTACTGAAGTTATTCGGAGCAGTCTGATTAATTTACGCAAAGCCATTAAAGGCCAAGTGTTGATGTCATCTGAACTTGAAGGTGTTTTCAACAGCATGCTAATGGGAAAAGTACCATCAATGTGGGCTGCCAAATCCTATCCATCACTGAAGCCACTGGGAAGTTATGTGTCTGATCTCCTCTGTCGCTTGGTCTTCTTCCAGGTATGCAAAACCGAGACTGACAGGTCTAAGGAGTTAGTGTTTGAAAGCTGAAATGTGTATCAGTACTGTCCTCACTCAACAGTAGCCTTATAGCTCCAGATTGTTAACTGTTTGTAGAGATTTATGACCCAATATACATTGCATTGACAGCATTGGAATTAGCTGGGCAATTGCTCAGCAGGGTGAATTGGGAATATAATCCTTTGGTGCTAATCCAGAGCTGCATATGGTAGTTTCCATGTTTCTGTTTCTAGAAGAGGCATTTTAGTTTGCATTGATGTCTTAATGACTTCCCTGCTCAAAGGGTGTTGAACCAGGTGTGAGGGTGCTTTAGAAATGGTGCGTAACGGGCACTGTTAAATTTTATATATGTGACTGTAAATCTCTTTCAGGTTTAATAGAAAGCAACACCGCTTCCACACATTTTTAAAGAAGCTATTTTATTCTTTACTCACTCTTCCATCACCCTTTCCCTTGCATTCTTAGAGCTCTCTTTAAATTACTTGAAGTTTTAGATGTACCTTAAATAGCTAGGGTACTGAGATGCAGTGGAACTCCACTGTCCTGGTTTTGGTTAAACCATGACACTCATGTAAATCAGGGGAGGAGAAGGCTAGAAAGAAGTGTCTTAAAGATTTGTGTAAGCAGCAGAGTTTCCTGTTCACTGAATTAGAGTACCACATGGGCTTCTTTTGACTCCAAATGGCTTAGAGTAGTGTGAGGACATTGCGCCCTTACTTTTTTTTCCTAATGCCTTTGTGATACACAACAAAGATCCTGGCCCAAGATCTCCTTGTCTGTCATCTTTTTACTGGATTGGCTTCCTCTACTAGGATTTGATGTGTTGGCTGTAGTTCCCTCACGGTGATCGGTAAAAATGCTATGTAAGAAAATGTGGCCTTTTTTCATGTTAGGAGATTGGTGTTTACAAGACTGTAAAAGAGAGTACAAGTGTCCAAATGAAATAATTTTTCCTTTTATTTTTTTCTGGGTAGAATCTAGACTTACCAAAATATGCTTATTCTACTTTCTGAAATTTCTTTCTCAGTAGCACCGAGTTGTGGTCGTTTAAAAATGAGTGATTATTTTTCTTTTCATCATAAATAAGTGACTTCTGTGATTTGCCATCTCTGAAATATACAGAAGTAATGGTTATATGCAGAGCGTTCATCAAGGTTTACATCTCACTGTGCTGTTTCGGTATACCTGGAACAGCATCCTGAAAGACATCATTTTTCTGGTGAATCGGCACAGTGAAGCTACAAATGTATGTTTTCTTGTTTGCTTTTTCTCGATATATTCAGGATTGGGTCATCAATGGGCCACCCACAGTGTTTTGGCTCTCAGGATTCTACTTCACTCAGTCTTTTTTGACCGGTGTCTTACAAAACTATGCCAGAAAATACGCAATCCCAATTGACCATATTGGATTTGAATTTGAGGTAAGAAAATGCAGCAGAATTTTGTTTTTCTTGAACAGCTTGAAACATGTTCTGGGGCAGTAAGGAATAGAGTCTGCAAATGAAAAGCAGTTTTATTTAAAGGAGCAATTTCAGGCTATCACTTATAGGTTTTAATATACTCCAGATAAAAATAAAGCAAGCAATGGTTTAATCATTCTAGGTGATGCAACAGGAGCACACAATGGAGAAAATGCCAGAAGATGGGGCTTACGTGAGAGGCCTTTTTTTGGAAGGTGCACGATGGGATAGAGAATCCCTGGTAATTGGAGAATCGCTTCCAAAAATCCTTCATGATTCTTTGCCCGTAATTTGGCTGAAACCTGGAGATAGTTCCAAATTTTCTCATATGAACATCTATTTATGCCCTGTATACAAGACAAGCGAGAGAAAAGGTGTCTTATCCACTACTGGCCACTCAACCAACTATGTTCTCTCAATTGAACTCCCATCAGACAAGCCCCAGAAACACTGGATAAATCGAGGTGTGGCAGCACTATGCCAGTTGGATGACTGAGGATACGTATGTCAAACACTCATATTTTGTTATTAAAAGATATACTTTACTCCCCAAAGTCTGCATTTATTTATTTTTATGTATCAGGATTTCCTGCTGACTTCAAAGCAGCTCCCAAGTTCCTTTGGTTTTTAGCCATTATTAGCCACTGAACCAAGAGTCAGTGAAAATAGAACACTGCAAACAGAAACTTATTTCAAAGGCCTGGGCTTTATCTAGCAATAGATCAGAATGAACAGAACTCCCATCAAACTGTATGCTACCCACATAATTACAAGTCTTGTGAAATCCAAATACTAACATTTAGCTACTATCATAGGGCTGCTTTGTTCATGAAATTGGGCCCAAGAAATTATGCTGATTTTAATGGGAATCTAATCCATGACTCTTGCAAATAAGACTCTCTGGATTTGCCTACCACTTCCCTGTCCCAGGAGTATATAGGGCAAAGAGGGAGAAGATGAGAATAGTTTGTTGCCAACAAATAAACCCAGTCCTTAGCTAGAATGAACTGCCAGGACTGTATTGTAAAATTGTAATAACTGACACTGTGAAAATGTGCCTCAGAATCATAGAATGATAGAATGGTTTGGGTTGGAAAGGACCTTAAGATCATCCAGTTCCAATCCCCCTGCCATGGGCAGGGATGCCTCACCCTAGACCATGTTGCCCAGGGCTCTGTCCAACCTGGCCTTGAACACTGCCAGGAATGGAGCATTTATCACTACTTTGGGCAACCAGTTCCAGTGCCTCATCACCCTCACAATTCCATGGAAAACCTCTAGACAGCACATGCATTGGGAACCTGTCACTTCTCGGAGCAGTATGCCTGTCTTATAGTTTTTTAACTTTTTATTTCACTATTATTTACCCACATATCCCAGATTCCTGATAAATGGAGCTGTGTCCTTCTTTCCTGTAGTTTCATTTTCTTCCTTATCTTGCCTTCTTGCATATTGCCCTAATAACCAGCTGAAATTTTGTACCTGTTTAAGCCCTTTCATCAGAGAAGCTCAAAGTAGCTTGCAAACATTAATTAAAAAAAAATGGCCTGAACATCTTCAAAGAGCTGTGCAGTCATTAGTTAATCCCCACAGCATGCCAAGAAGGTACTAAAGATGCATCATTAGACTTGTGTGTACACAGTACAGGAGAAGCACGAAGATCAAGGCAAACATTTAAAAAAAAAACCCATTGCATAAACATCCACTAATTTAGGGCCCTAGTTCATTGGGTTTTTTTTATTCACTGCCCAAATTGCAGCATTTTTAATAACTTGCTTGAGGCCTCATAAAGTCAGAGATGCAGCTGTAATTCAGCAATTTGCAATATCCTGCTACAGTCACTAAGTGATGGTGCTACGACTCATTAGAACATGCAGTTCTTATCGTAGGGATTTCTCTGTTATGTGATGCTTAGCTGTAATAGGTGAAAACAGTGTTAAGTATTGTTTTATTAACCCTCAGGTTGTTTTATACAGATATTCATAAAATACTAACTTTTAAGAACAGTAACATACAGGTAAGCCAGGAGAGTTACAGCTATGTTTTACAATGCTGCTCTGCACAAAGATAAGCATAGATCATGAGTACAGTTTCTTCCTGAACCATATTTGGTGCCTCACTAACAGTACAGTATACAAGCACTTGGAGCATCATTATGGCTACATTGTGACTAGAGCAAAAATGTCAGGCCTTAATGGATATTTGTTTCAGTAAATGGGACAGAGATGTGCAAGGGTTTCAGCTTACTGATGGGAAGAAACTACTCTTTAACAATTTAGACCAAAAGATACTTGGCACCTATAGCAGAAATAAACTTGTTTATGAATGTTACAGCACAGTCATTCAAACTGACAACCATTTTTTGATAAGAGAATTATGTTTCAAAAGATCTAGAAACAAATTAATTAAAATTGGTCCTTTAAAACCCCTGTATTCTGTCAGACTTCATAACACAGACACTTTGTATTTGTAACATGATTACAAGTAACTGAAATGTACTATATATTTAAAAAAAACCCATTGTGGTAGTTACCATAGTTTTGAATGGCTGCATCTAATTGTTGTTATCACAGCAACAATTCAGATCACTAATTAGGTCATACTGGCATCAGAGGTTAAAAACTAGTCATGAGCCTCCTCTTGCCAGGTGCTTTACATGCAGGCCGGAGAGGCTAGACCTGGCTCTTAGATCCTTCCCTATGGACTGATCAGTTCAATCACTAACCTCTGAAGGATCGATCTTTTTAGATTTGAGTTCATGCATGCCAGTGACTGGTGACAGCTTACCTGTGGCTGCTGAGGCACTGCTGAAAGGGAAGCTGAGGCAACAATGTAGTAATGATTCTTAAAACAGTAAAATTAAGAGAAGATGGCATTTGAGGATTGAGTTTCTTGATCCTTCTTCAGAAAATACTAGTCTTACAAGCACAGTCCTCCAAATTAAGCCCTTTTAAGTTAAAAACAGATTCACTAGTAAGTGCTACCTAAATTATATTTTATGGAGATAGATTACTTTTAAACTACTGGAAAATACTGTAGGATAGCTTGCCATGTGGGTTGCTTGTTAACACCTTTCCGTGAACAAACACTAATTGGTAGTTTATTAAATAACAACAGTTCTGTGAATATATAGTGGCTTTGCTGCTGTATTGTGTGCAGCGTCCTTGTTACTGTGTTGATTTTCTAAATGCTTCTTCTGTGTTAATGTTAGATTTGAGATGAAGGTATCTCTCAGAATGTAATTAAAGATGTATTTCAAGCTTTTGTAGGTGTGACCAACAGATCTAGACAAGAGAGAAGTCTGTCTGTCTTCATGCATCTCTTGCTTGCCCTTTCATCAGGGATCAAGCACGGCTGAGTTGCTTTAGTTGATGGTCACTGAAGTATGTGATTTCCTGGGCTGCCCTTACTGTTAGAGAAAAAGTAATGGAATTTACTGTTGAGGGATATCTGTCTTGGAGGTATTTTTCTGTGGTTCTTTAAAATGAGCTTCCTGACCTTATTTCCTGAGCACTGTCCAGACGTTCCTGAAGGATAAACTGGCTAAACATTAGCATTCACAAGATTTCTTGGCTGAGATGCATTAAGAAATAAAATAAAAAACAACTCAGCTGTTAGACATGATAAAAATGTGGAAAATCTTTGGGGAAATAAAGTACCTTGTAATAATATTAGAATTCTTGGCTTTACAGGTTCAGTATTTCAATTTCTTAATTAGAAATTCTCATTAAACAAACCACAAAAAATACCTGCAGTTACAGCAAATTATAGATTTACAGCCTCGCTAATAACTCAAAGCAGATGGAAAAATTGCAGTATGCAGACATTACAGAGCAAGAGATGTTTTTTCCTTAGAGCAGAGTCAGATTTTCAGCTTGAGATGCTGTAAGACAGACATTCCCTTTCTCTTATCTCATCTGTACAAAAATCCATTTCAAGAACAGAAAGTACTATCTCTGTTGATTTTAGCACCATTGGGCTGTTAAAGAGAAAATTATACAATGAAAAAGCAAAAGACAGTACAAAGCATTCTTCTACTTATAAGTTCCTATAAGCTAGAACGTTTTGCCTAATAGGATCAGAAAAATTAGTGAAAAGTGTGGATCTCTCCTGTAATTACAATTCTTGAAAATTAATTTATAGATATGATCAAGTAGGTGATCTTTTTGTCTGTGGTTAAAAGATGGATGTTACTGATAATAATTTCTGACGGATACATTGTAGGGCCCCAAGCAAGTGAGGTTGGCTTATTTTCTCTAGATTTAAAAGGTATTACAAGAACAGACTTGTATCTGTGGGAAGATAGATCAGATAGATAGCCTAATCCCTCTTAACCTGTTTCAGTTTGATACTTCCCTTGGGATATATTGGGTCACTGCTGCAACTTCTTGAGTGTTTCCTCATCCCTAGACAACAGTGAGGGGGTGCATTCAGTAAGCAGGTATCAACTCCATCTTCTTAAATGACTATGTGCTTACTAATGTTAGTGTTAATTTGGTTTCATAAGCACATGGGTTCATAAATAAGGAGTTAGGGACAGAATATTCAGAAAGGAGGTTTTATTGAGATATTCAAGGCCAGATACCCCATCAACAAATTACCACTGCATTGCTACTGCTTAGCTTGCAGGAGAGTTTCATGCAGCTGATTCGGAATTTAATTTCTAAAGAATATAAAGTTACTATCATCTTTATTCTAAACTATTCTAAAGCATCTCCTGACTAGTGTGATAGCTTGAAAGAGACAGTATTTTCTGGAACAGGAGTGCACAAAGTTAAGGAAGTACAGGACAGAGTGTACACTGACTGGCTGAATCCAGTGTATTACAAACTCTCAAGAACTCAGATGCATTTTGGACAACATCTTTTTGCAAGTAAAATTAATGTGTAGGAATGATATATTGCACCATTGTTGGGATACCTGACAGCAGTTGCACGGTCCTTGGAAATGAATACAATGAGTACCAGTTCAGATGTCTGCCTACCCACTGGACTGACCTGCAGATGAAATTCTTTTTATGAAGCTCCCTCAAAATGGAAGTTTGCCAGTTTGACCTCTAAAAACAAAGCACTCTCTTTAAGGCAGGTTCTCTTTGTCATACAGAGTTTAACTTAAGCTGTGAAAAAAAGGGGTTTGGCCTCCAGACTTGATGAAAGAGCAGATCTAATCCTTCCTTTAGCTGAACAGACTTGGGGTTTTAAGAAATTTCAGTCTTATGGTGCTGGGCCATAATGAAGATCAGGCACTAGTTAATACTAGTTTCTCAAACACTTACTTTGAAAAATAGACTAGCATTTGAAAGCATCTCAAATAATGTGATAATGTTACTGCAGTTCAATTTACTGGCTTTTCAGTCAAGGAAGTGGATACTCATTTGAGTTACTTAAGGCTACTTGAGACTTTTTAAAATTGCTTATTTATATTTTCCTTCAGAAATAAACTCATCGTTATTTCAATTAGGTAACTTTAGGGATGTTCTCTTTTAATAATCTACATCTTACAGTATGTGCTCAGGAAAGAGTTGTGACTATAATACAGACAGTAAATTGACAGTGCTCATTTACATAGCTGTTTATCCACCTGATGAGTCACAGCATCAGTACCTTCATTAGCCACGTGAATTTTAACAATTCAGAAGATTCAGAATGATAGCTCAATGATAAAGAATAAGCCTAAGCTCCCATTCAAAACACTTGTCTCTGCACATTTTTCTTTGGCTCAATTGACACGTCTACACTGTGCATGAGGATAGGAAAAGACTGTATTTGGACTTGTTTCAATGAAGGATTAAGCAGTGTGTATAATCACGTTATTTTTTACTGTCTTTGTTCCATCCCACTTTTCCTCTGCTAAAGGAGTTTTGTTTTGTGTCTTCCTGGCAGCAGTAAATTTGCAAAGCTCCCACTGACAGGCAGAACAATGGCATTTTACATGATACTTCCCACAGGAGGTATTCCCAGGAAATAATTATATGGGAATAGATACCTTTGTGGACTGGAGCCATAAAAGGTAGTGAGAAATTGGACTAGACAGTACCTGTCATGCTGACTTGTTCTTCTCATTGTTTCCTTGTACTTTCTCATCCACTTGTTTTTTTTTTTTTCCACAGTACATTCTTGGGAAGCAACTGTCACTCTGTTCTGCACATGACCAGTTTTAACTTATTTTTAAGGTAGACAGGAATATTTCTTTGCCATTTTCTATTAGAACTTGTAGAGCTCAGAAAATGATACTTCATTGGTTTTGCCCATTTCAGTAGGAAATAATGTACACTGCATTTTTCAAATCTGCTTTTTTTACCATCCTTAACTTCTGGCTGGAATAGGTTGCTGCTCATACCCTCTGCCCTCAACACAGCTGTGGGCTGTGCTTATACAGTCTCCCAGTAGAGTGTGGTTCTTGTCCACAGCTTGGTCTCATTGGTACTTCTAGCCTACCTTTCCTGAAGAAAACAGCCTGGTAAAGCCAGAGCACTGAAAGGGAGCCAAAACAATTGGTGGCCAGTGAGGGGGCAATTAATTTAATTTCACTTCCATTCACGAGGCACCTGCAAAACAGAAATGGCCCTCAAACTTAAAAGGCAGAAGAAATAGTTGTAGGTGCTTTCTTTTAATAAAGGTGAAGTTCTGTCCATAATGTAAGAATTAAAACCTAACTCTAAAATAATTGTTGAGAAAGCCAGTGTGCTGATTATGCTGAAAAGCTAACCATGTAAAAATGCACAGTGAAGACACGCAAAGCATCCTAAGCTGGCTTCCATAGTGATACCCTGAAGGGAGAGTTTTCAGTCAGTCCATACATGGGAACCTGAGGAACCCGAGGAACCCAAGAGTGGAATGTTTCACTCCAAGTTGTGTAATGGCATTCCAAACTTTGCATTTCATATCCACGCCCTGTCCAAAGGAAGTGAGGGGGAACCAAAAGAAAAGATGACATAGAGGGTCTAGGCTACTCCCCTGCAATTTGCAAAAAGATAAAAGGAGGACTTGTGGCATTTCTGCTGTCCCTTTGCTACTGTCCCTTTAGAAACAATATTTCTCTATAAGGGTACTATGAAACTGGAACGATTCTTCAGGGACAATAGGCAGAGCAGGGACAAGAGAGGAAGGAGTGCAGCTGCAGTCAGTGTATTCCCACCTGCATTTGGAAGGTCTGGAGGTACAGTGTCTGCTTTATTCTCCTGGGCTTTCTTGATTCTTGCTGACTCTTACACAAGGCACTGCCTTGAATCACAACTGAGCATATATAATTCTCAAACCACCAGGGAACCCTGCTATAAATGAACAGAGTTTAAAAACCTGATGTAATTTTCCTGATGTCAAAGTAATCTTGTATCACACCTCGCTCCTTGAAAAGTGTTACCTTTATTGAGGCGTCAGTGGTTGAAATGTAATAAATACCAGACCAATCTTGTCCATCGTATACATTATATCATCGCTTTCTGGCATCCAGAAATATGTGAGCAGGTGACCAAACAGCTTCATTCACAGATGTGCACACAAATCACCTCGATTGCAGTCCACAGTTTAAATGATGTGATTACACATCACATCTTAAATAATGGGTTATGAAACTTCATCATGGGATTTCAAGTATATTGGCTTAGAAATCTTCCTTAACTTTTCCTGGTGTCGCAACATACGGCCTTGTTTATGGGCAAGACCCATAGGAGGCAGGTGGATCTGGAAAAGAAAATCCAACCAGTTAGGTGCAAATTGAGAAGCTACAAGAAAAAGAAAGTATATATACAGACTAGGTTTCATTGAGTTTGAAATAATTTCTTCACACTTTGGAAAGGGCAACTGTACCATCCAGCTTATTAGATTTCTAGGAAGAGCACTCTGAGGTGTGATTAGTGGTGTAACTTTCAGGCCCTAAATGTTGTGTTTATTAAAATCATATATACATTAGGCTTTAATGACCTTGTTTTGGAGCTTGGTATCAGATTGTAATGATATAATGCTTGCTGAAATAGGACTGCTGACAATGTTCCAGAACGGTAAGACCTAGAAAATTCTCAAAATACCTGAGTAGCAGTGTATTCTACTCATTCCTACCTAACAAGTCACAAAACTGTATGTACTGAAAGACTGTCTTCTTATTGTTATGATTATGTATACCATATTAAAATGCACAATGTCAATGACTCCACAAGCAGAAAGAGCAATAAGTAACAGGGTCTTCCTTTGATTGACAATGTCTTTGTATTTCATAGGACTGTTAGTGGGAGTCATGCAACTATATCCCCCCCTGCTAAGTGACTGAAAAATGTAGGTGTTAGCAGTCAGATGTTATTGTTGCTGAGGCTGTCATCCTGTAAGAGAGCTGTTTAGGTGCAAGTAGTAGTAAAAGCACTGACTAAAGCAGTAATAGAGATTACTAGAATCTGAAAAATAATGATCATCCAGTTTGTCTGAGACAGCGGATCTTGGACTGATCCTCTGGGATTCTGAAGCCACTGCAGAGCATAAATTTTAAGCCCTTTTCTAGGAGCACTGTTTGCCAGATGTGCATTGTTATTCTCTATCCTGGAGAAAAAGCTGTATGTGAAGCAGATGCTAACACTGACCATATTCTAGGCAAGCATCTGATGGAGATAGATAAAATTTAATCTTGACTTCCTTGATAAGGAAACTACAGATGTGAAAATACAAACTAATCAACAGGAGTTGAGAGAAAGTTTCTATGGGAGGCAGCATAAAGTACTACAGACAGAAGTGACTCAGCAGTGAGGTAACTATACTGAATGGTGCAATAGAAGACACTGCTGCAACTTTCAGCATTTTGGTCATCTTGGACATGTTTTTCTCTAGGAAGAGGGGAAAAGAAGCAACATAGGCAGGTGTTTCATAAGACCTGATTTATTAGAAGAACAGCTACCAGTAACGCAGGCTATAACTGTAAAAAATAACTGTATCTATGGCAGATGTAATTAAGTATTTTTATTATCTTGTTTTATTACGTGGAAAGATTAACAGATTTGATTCCATTAATGTCTTTTTCTGGTTGGACATTGGTTGGACAAGACTGCCTAAATATTCAAAGGCCTTGAGAGTTTAGCTCATGTAACTCCATTTAGACTTTGACTTCTTAATTTGTGAAGAAATTAGCCAATTTACAGGGAAATAAGATAGATAGAAAACATTTCTATACACATTTGGCTTATTTGGCTCTGATTTAGCATGGCATTTAAATACCGGCTCATCTAAAAATGCACTGCAGAGACAGTGATGTGGACTGTGATGTAATTATTGCCTAGTGAGAGCCAAGAGGGTGCAGCTGAAGATTTTGTGACTTAAGATTTCTACTCACAGGCCTTGGGTAGGGGATGTTATAGTGAAGTCCAATTTCAATTCTTGCCTCACATTCTTCTATATACTGCTTAATCAACTTTGGATCTGTTACCTAAGATCATAGAAACAAATGTTTTGTATGAGTACAGCAGTTAGCAATTGAAAGCTCAAGTGTAAATGATGCACAGCCACATGACTTTCTCTAGCTTTTTTTGGCAATCCCAAGAATACAATTATCTATTTTCCATATCCATAAAAGGTAACATTTGCATTGACTCAATAGTTCTAGGCTTGATGGTGCTGGATATTAAGGCCTGGAGCTATCTTGACTGAGACTACAGAAAGAGGGTTTTACCCAAACATGGTATTTTCATTGTAAAAAAGACTATACACATGTAAACTACTAATATAGTTATGAAAAAAACCACACTCACCCATTCATCACTCAGCAAGATAGCTAGAAAAGAAAGAGAAGAGACTCCTTGGTTTACACTCTGTTATCATCCTATCCTGAAACTCCCTCTGAAGTCAGAAATGTGGTGTAAATTGTGACTTACATCCATTTTTTTTTATTTTGAATTACTCCAATTTAGTCCCACTCCAAAATGGGATATAAGTAAGCATTGCGATCTAGATTACAAAAAGGACCTTCGATTACCATGCAGTCTGTATTGTCCCTTTCAAGAGGGGTTTGAAATTTCTTCCTTAAGAAAAAAAAAGTGCTTCTTTTAAAAGAATTTCCAATAATTGCTGCTTTGAGAAGAGAAAAGAAGTGTAAGAAGCTACTGAGCTCTGTTTGCCATTGCAGGGGTAATGATACATTTATCTAACTTTCTAAAAGATAAAAGCTGCTTCAATTACATAAGCAGTGTCTTTTGAATTTAATTTTTTATTAGTACTTTTTAGTGAAAGCTCTAAACCTTGTAGACTTCTACAGTAGTTAATGAAGAGCTGAAATGGTTTGAGTTTTCTTATTACTATTTCAGTGGTGGGATTTAAAATATAACCAAAATACACCAGCATTTAAGGTGAGTGAAGTGTTGGGAAATCAGCTCTTATATTCATATGTTAGCACCCAATCACTGTGACGGTCCAAAAAGCAAGAGGGACAACCATTCAGAAAATCAAAACTGTAAGGATACTCACATTTTTGTTTTTTCGGAATAATGTTTGGGCTTCATTGATAATGTACGCTTTCTCTTTAACAGTTTCTTCTATCTGTCCTGATGCTGATTGCCATTTTTTGGCTATTCGGAATATCTTGCGGTAAAGGCCAAGAACTTCTTGTCGAGTAACTGGGGTCATCTAAAAAAGCAACACAAAACCCCAGACATATGCATGAACATTTGAATTGCTAAAAAGCCAGCAAGCAGTATGCTTTCTCACACAATTGAATTAAAGATATTTCTACCATCTAAAGATATGCTGAGCTATACAAAAGCCCCAAAATAGTAGTAAACAGTTATTAGCTATTGAAAGCTGAAGACCCAGTCCAGCCAAGTATTTAAACTGACACTCAAACCTATCTCCATTCAAACAGCTCCAGTTCTTGCTCAAAGTTAAGCACTTGCTTTAGTGCTTTGCTGAATCACAAGCCTGGTACAAGAATGCCCAGGTTTTGCTTCACTGCTATTTTGCAACAGACATTGGGCGAGTCACTGAAACTCTGAGCATCCCTCTTCCTGTGAAACTGTTGTACCAGTGCTGCCCCTGTCTTTGCAAAGCATCTTGGATCTGTGAATAAAATACATGATAAAACAACCACAATGATTCAGCTGGAGTTTGATGTGATGAAAAAGTGATGAAAGTTATTTTATCTAAGCACTGCAGGAGAGGCAGACTAACTGTGGATTTAGGAAAGTTCTGAATGTCTTTATTTTCAGAGAGCTGCATACCTGCTCAGCCCACTGAATCAGCCTCCAGGTGTGGTAGGAATCTTTGTCAGAAATCAAGAATGACATCCTATTCTATTCTTATTCTATTTAAATGAGTATTTTATCATCACTGACACTATTTCATGTCAGACAACAATTATTCGTGAAAAAAATCCACTGCAGAAACAATGACTAGTGCTTTAGGGACACCACAGCTATTGAGGGACACCACAGCTACTGAGGATACCTTCCTGTCCAAAAGGCAGATGCAGTAGCACTACACAGTAAGTATATAGATGCAACGAGGAACAGATATCAGGGACAGGCCACTACCTGACTGAGTCAGGATCCATTTGCAAACCTGGAACTCTAGTTACTGTGGCTGAATCAACCCTGAAATGAGACCTGTGAGCTGGGAACAGCTCCTCCGAAGGACAGTGTGGAGCAGGGTAATCCAGATGGCCTGAACAGCCCTCTGGAGGGAGCACTCTCCTCCCTTGATCATAGAGGAAAAGCCACTTCCCAATGCACGCACCCGAAGTCTAGCAGCGTGGCCGTCGTCACTCATCTGACTGTCGTGTGGGTAGTAGCACAGGGTTTTGACCCAAAGTCTCCTCAAGCCGTATTAGTTCCCAAGTGGCAGCCTCCACCACAGCAGCTAACTTCTAGTAGTATTTCGGTCCTCCTGTGGCTTCAGCTACTCACACCGTCTTTTCCTCACCAGTCGGAGTTACAGATGCTAACTGAAGACATGACTCGTGCCATAGTTCGTTTCACTAAAAAAGCCCCCAGTGTATTAAATCCAAGCATATTTTGTCTTAACTGTTGCTATGATTTAAGGACTTTTTGTTGCTTCATGAACTCTGTTAAGGATCTTAAGAAGTACAGACATAAAACTGTTTTTCTCTGATTCTTGAGAGAACATTTTTTATTTTTCTATTTGTATTTTTAAAACATTTAAGCAATCATATCTTTTCCCCTCAGATATAAAAATGATCCTTCCTACCCAGTATTTCTAGTAAATGTTTATGGTATTTCTAGGAAATAGAAATAGGAAACACTTTGGAATAAATGCTTCACTTTACCCACTTTGCAGCTCCATTTCAGGCAATAGCGTTAGTCATACACAAAGCTATGTGTGTACGTGTATCTGAAAAACCACTGCTTCCCTCTGCGAAGTGCGTATTTTGTACAGAAAATAAACAGTTCAATTACAACGGCTGACCAAGCACAAGCCAAGTCCCACATCGTGTCCTTAACCTACAGCCCCTCCTGGCCTCTCACCCCTCTGCTTTTAGTTGAAGGTATCACTTTCTGGTAGACTCTTTGTTTCCTGCTGACAGCTAATAAAAGGTAGTACTGCACTGGAAACTGTCAGCTCAGGTTTTCATGTAATACATAAAGAAAAATTAGAGGAATAATGTCAGGAGAAAAAATGTTTAAAATAGAGGTTTAAATTTTGACCTAGACATCAGACAGTTTCCAAGGCCACAACTTGCACAGTGCATGTCCTTTGCTCAGAGCTGTAATCATACCTGTCGCTTTTGGGTTTTAATCATACCAAGAACCTGTTTATAAAATTATTGTTTAAAGTTTTAGAATCAGTGGGTTTTTTTTCCCCACTAGTTGCTTCTGCTCCCCCACCTAGAACTTTTTAATTTCTTAGTGTTGGAATTGATAGAGAACTGTGTAGCCCTTCACCTAGGCATGGGCTGCATTTCTGCATTATTGCTCTCCTTCCCACATATGCTAGATGATGTGAAAGACATTAAGCAGCTTTTCATATATATGGCTCATTTAGTCAACAATCTCTAATGTTACAGACCTGCTCATAGACCATTTCTGCAAAGATACATAAATGAATGTGTGAGGAACTCTTTACGGCCAGAGGACCCCTGTCTATCACAGATGGGAGCAGACAGGACAAAACTCAAAGCCTGGCTCAGATTTTGAGTGGGACTCTAAATACAGGATAATTCCACCAACAGCAAAATTACTTCCAAGTTAAAATGCTGTAAATGAGATTGCAGGTTTTCTTCTTTGGTATAAACAGAGCCCACACTGACAGAAATGTAAGTGACAGTACAAGTAATGTATCAGGTGTAATTTCATGAAGTGACACTACTTGTATTAGTTTTGTGGGTGTGTAAAAATGATTCTGAGTGGGACAGAAAGGAAGATAAGGGAGGCTTTCATGTCCTTGTAGTTACTCATCTTGCAACTTACATCTTTGGCATTTAAATCATAATTATATTTCACATCTCTGGAATGTTAAGTGGATGTTACACCACTTTCCCACTAACACTCATCTTGTGGTACTCACACCCATTGTTTAACTTCTGCCACCCTTCATTTTATTGCAGAATGCAGCCCACAGAGGTTAACCACAGGCATTTTTGTCAAAAAGTACAGGGCTGTTGTATTAACTGAGCAAATTTCAGGTGTTCACTGCAACAAAACAAGCTGTGAGAGGTCAAAGGTAGGTCTGTAGGCACAAATGTATCGATGGGAAAAGTGGTAGGTTGCTTTTGAGCTGAGTGTTAGAATTCAGCCTTTGGAGGGAAGCCAAGCACTGCCTTCCACACAGCATTTGCTGGATGCCGTGGCAGAGTTCTGGTAACGCAGGGTTGTATCATTCTTTTGATCTACGTGCAAACCCCTGTTACCAATATGCAGATCAAACACGTGAAATATCCCATTGTATCCAAACTTGCAAAGGAGGCTTGAGCAGTTAATGAGTTACTGCATGGTGAGGATGCAAACTTTTTTCATTGTTAATTAAAACAAATAGTCCTTTAGACTATGAAATGTAATAACATTTTTCTTTGGGGAAACAAATACGCATTCCTTTGGATTTTTAGATGATTGACCCAGAAGTTCACTAATCTAAATAATTAGTCAAACACCAGTTGTCTTCTGCTACTTGCAGGTTTGTTTAGAATTTAAAGTTTATATAAAAATAAGGAGAGGAATCTGTCAACTGCACTGTAAAGTGACCCCAACAGTGCACTGTCAAAGCAAAGAAGGCAAGCTGCATGAACACTGACTATCTAAGAGCAGCTAAATTACAGCTACTTCCCAGGGAGGGATGCTTGGCTAAGAAAGCATGTCCAGCACTCTCCTCCTATCTCCTTTGATGAAGTTGTAAGTCTATTTTATTTCATCCTTTCTTTTCAAGTCAAGTATTAGCTACTCACTTGAAATATAAAATCTGTCAGCAATGAGTACATTGAGGATTTTAGGAAACAAAGGGTGCAAGGAATAGCTCATGGGTAAAAAATTACATTTTAAACAAATAGATCTCTTCTTTTACGTCCCAGCTAAGTAGGGCATGCATTAATGCTGATGCTGAAACCATATTTGCTCAGGGGAAGAGATGGTGGGGAACAGAACTCTGTGTGAAATAATTCAAAAAAACGCCTTTGAACTTCTCAGATGTAAAATGTTTTATTTAGAAACAACACAAATTCTATTTGACAGCTGGCTTGCTACTGGCAAATAGTCCTAAAGACACAGTGACAAACTGCTGGGCTGACTGCCATCCAAATCAAGCTATAATCACATTTCTGTTACAGAAATAAGTGACATAATTCAAAAGCATGGCGTATCAACATTATAGCATGGATCAACAGCAGCTATGGCCTGCATGATAACCCATATCTCATAGTTTCAAATGCACTTTTTGGCTAACTAAAGAGATGTGAAGACCTGTACATATCTTGCCTTTGTTTTAAGAGCTAAATTATACCATTTAGCGAAAGAATGACCTGCAGTCTCTCTCCTGCTGCTATCATTCCTTTCACAGCTATATACAGCAACTGGAGGTCAGTAATCCATATTCATCTTTCATGCCAGTCTGCCAAAATGAGTCTGCGCTTCTTAAGGCAGCAGTGAATTTGTTCTATCATTCCCTTGAGGGACAACAACTGAAACAATGAGTTCCTGTGGCACAGGGAGAAGAGAAGGGGTCACAGATTCCTGTGATAGCTGGGTAAGTCACATGCCTTCCAGTGATACTAATTTCCAAAATCCAGTTTCTACAAAAATAATTTTATCTTCTTTTACTCAAATCAGTGAGTTAGTGGCCTGTGACAGCTAGTGCCCTGCAAACATCGACCACACGTGGCTGCAGTACATAGCAAAGTGAAAGCTCATCTGATTTTTATTCTTAATTGAACAATCTTTCTTTAGTATTTAGTCAAAACCAAATCATAGCAGAACTTTAATCACAGCTAAAATAGTCCATCTTCACATGGTGAAAAACAAACTAAAATGAAAGCTCTTATTCTTCCATGATGGTGTTACATCCTCCTTTCTACCAGTGATGCAAGTAAATTTCAAGTAGTTTCCATCAAGGATTAATGCGATTCCAACTATTTCTCACTGTTTCAATCTACATGCTGCAGTCAGAAATCTATGCAGATTTGGTGAAAAAGAATGAAGTTAATGAATCAAGTTACTCAGTTACGATACCTGAAAGCAAAGTGACTTTCACATGGGTTCAGATTTTGTCATACCAGTATCTTTGTGCTGGCAAACTGAAGTGATCTGAAACCCCGATCGATACGTCTGAACCAGCCTCTCTAAGTCGTTGTACTTACACTGTTCATCAGCTGGGATGAGGCTTTGCTGTTCTATTCATGCCTTGGATTTCTGACTGAACTGGGATCTCTTCTAAGCTTTTTCTTACATACGGAGCAATCTTTTGATCAGAAAAAGGGAACTGCATGCAAAGAGAATACAATTAAGTAGTAAAACCAAGGACTTGTGTTTTATCTCTGGATTTCCTATGTTATTTCAAATAACTGAAATTTCAGGAAATTAGGATTCTACAACATTTTCTCCATTTGTATAAATGAAAGGGGAACCCTTAACTAGTCTCTTTTGATCATGAAGTTTTCATTTTGTCAGTCTGAGTTGGTCGAGGCATTATCTACCTTTAGTAGGACATAGGGACTCCAGCGCTGTGAGTGCCTCCTGGGCTGGAGTAGCCTCAGGAAGAACAAAAATACTGACTTGGACTGTGGAGATGGGGAGGAGAAGCAAAAAAAAATAGCACTTTACCTATTTCTTAGCTTTCTCCTGAAAATCACGCAGTCTCCAGGTAAACTAAAGCAATGTGAACTTGTCTCTAGTCTTGTGCAGCCCTTTTGCTTATGCTTTCATACAGTTACAACCATTTTCTCTTTTCCTCCTCCTTTGTATTTAGTTCTCTGTTAGTTACAAGCAGAGAAAGAGGTTTTAATGTGGTGCAACATATTTAGCAGAGAAAATGAAGTCTCAGCTATCCTTGGATGGCCTTACTTATATAATAGAGAAGCATACAGAAAGATACCAGTGTAGACACAAATCCCAGTATGGATTTATGCACCTTATTCATATCTTGGCTTTGAGCCAAATGCAACTGAATGCATGAATAGAAATATTTTCCAGCATTGGAAATGCTCCCAAACTCAAGAACAGGTATAAATATTAATGCTATCCGAGAAACAATCCTCCCTACCCCATTTCTTACTTCATTCTGTGGGTCATTTGATGAAACTCAGCTTACGAGCCCTCTCCTTCCATTTCCAAGCACCTTGGTCTCAGGACATTGATAGATACGATTTTCAGTCACTATCTGAGCACTGTAGCACGCCATATATATGGAGTTTTGGAGCCAAGAAAACCTCACGGAGTACTTGCACTAGACGCTCTTGAATGGTCGATTGATCAGCCTTTGGGGCTCCTGCCTCATTGCTGGCACAAGGGCAGAGGAACACTGGGGAAGTGCTGCTCTATCTGTCCCAGTCTTCTCTCGGGTTCTGTGGAGAACCCTTGGGCCTGATGGTGACAGGACACCTCCTTGACAGGATATGCAGGTGCAGGTGAGAGGTTCGGGACTCATTTTGCCAGCACCTGGGACCCAGGCCATGCCACAGTCACCTCTGCAGCTACTGCTGCACCCAGGCAGGCACAGGCTGTGGGGGTCAGGCCTACCCTAAGAAAGGTCCCGTTCACACAGCGCAGGGCTGTAAATGCACTGGCGGAGAGCAGTGTGACTGTGGGACTTGGCCGTCCTCCGCCTCCTGTGCACCACGCAGGCTGCTGCCAGCGCTACGATGGCGGTGGCCGCCCCCCCGCCGTTGCCCGCTGCCGCCGGGGGGCGCTGCAGGAGCGGGCGCCCTCCTGCCCGCTGGCTGCCGGGGCGGCATTGCCCCTGCAGCCGGGCGGAACCACTGCGTGAAGAGGAGAGGGTTGCCCAACCCCAAAGGCCTCCAGCCAGTGCTCTCCCCTCTGCCTTCCCCGCGTGTCGGCTTGCCCGCCCTCCATCTTCTCGCTTTACCTTAGGGAGGAAGAGTATCGAGGTCCCGCTCCCCACCTTCGTGGCGGCGGTTCCGCCCCAGTAGGCCCCGTCCCCCCGCTCCGGTGGGCGAGGGACACGGCGAGCAGCCGCCCAAACTGCCCTCACCGTGCGTGCGGCGTCAGGCACGCCGCCTTGCGTCACGGCGCCGCCGCCGCCAGCTGACTGCTCACCCCCGGAAGTGATGCGGGGAGGGGTGGCAGTCTCGCAGGGAGCCGCGGAGGTGAGTGAATTGGACCGTGTCTCTTCCCGTCCGCGCCGGGCAGCGGGAGGGGGGTACGGCGGCGGTGCTGGGCTCGGCTCCGGGTTCCGCTCGGCGCGGGCTGCGGGGCTCGGCCGGCAGACTCGGCGGTGGCGGGGGCCTCCGCTCTGCCCCCCAGCCCCGCCAGGGCCGGTTGGGTGCGGGGGGCCCCTGTCGCCGCCGCCGCCCCCTCACGGCAGGGCCCGTCGCAGCCCGCCCGGTCGTGGGGCTGGCAGCCGCTGCAATGGTCCTCGGGTGCCGGCTTGCCCGGCCGGGAGCCGGAGCCTCCCCCGCTGCAGCGGCGCGGGGCCGCCCCGTCCGGGCGCTTCTCTGGCGGGTGGTCGCTCGGTCTGGCTCCGTTGCAGGCCAATACGGCTGCTCAGCAGGCGGGTGCACCCCTGGAGTCCCCCCGCCCGCCACCAATTTGTGCGCCTCAAGTAATGGTGCCGGCTCACCTCAGGGTCCTCTCCCTATTTTTCCATGTCGGTGTGTGCCTTCTACAGGGTTCCAGGACGTTTCTTGACAAGCCGTCTCTCTGCGAGCAGCACCGCATCCCTCCGCGGGGATCAGCTGCTTTGTTCAACCCCACTCCGTGTCAAGCTTTATGCGTGTAGCACTGTGATAATCATTGTGTTTGCGGAGAAAAGGCAAAGGGGAAACGTAGATCAATTTATATCCAACATATTTTCCATAATCTGAATATGCCACCCTTGCACAGCCACTTTTCCTCTAACTTCAGCTTTCGTCCCCTCTCCCGAGGATGTGTATATCCTTCTTGTGAAACCTGCAGTGTGTGCTAATCACTCTTAGTGTCTGGGGCTATGGTGGTACAAACAAGCTGCTCCTAACAGCATAAATTCTAACTTGCTTAATCACTGTTTCAAGCAGATACTGGTTGAAGCAATATGCTTTTCCTCTTAGTGTTGTGGTTGCTGGAAAGAATCATTGATTATCTTTTAAATAGTTAACACTGCTGATATGCTGTCCTTCAAAATGTTACATTGATAACTGAACAGCCTGATGCCGGCTATCGGAATACAGCATTGATCCACAGCTGGGAACTTTTTTTAAATGGGACTGTCTGCCGCATAATTTAAAGAGGTAATAGGTTAAGTGCTCTGAAAAAAGGGGTAGAGCTGTGCAGAGAAAGCACAAAACTGCCTTACCTTCCTGTAAATTACAGGCAGTCCTCACTGGCAGTTGCACTGCATGGTCTGTGTTTGTTGGGAGAACAACCGGTTGAATACGTATCTTCTAAACACATTATGTGTTTAAGGGCCTCTTTGTTAAATAGTTAATATGTAACTATGGTATTAGTGTTTTATTTGGGCTAGCAATGGGAAGAGAGTGAGTACTGGTGTTTCTCAAGTGCATCTTAGCACTGCTATTTGTTTCCCCAGTAGAAGATAATCCTCAGGAAAGGAAACAGTTCCTTGGTTAAAATCACATGTGCAAGTAGAGAGATCTGACTTCATGTTCTTGTCAGTTCTGAGGCTTGTATTTAAAATCTTCCCCATGCACGGGTGTGTGTGTGACCTGTGGGAAACCTTCATAGCACTTTACATGAAAGGCAGCACGCAGTCTAAAGCAAAGGTTTTCTGCACATCAGCAGAAAGATGAGAACTTGTGATTTGTGTTGAATTGGTTCAGATTTGCAAAGTGTAACTGCCTTTACAAAGCTACTGCAAATATCAGCTCTTGTAATGGTTTCTGAAATACAGATTATTCTCTAATAGTAAGTTATATGCAGGTGTGAATGATGATAATCCTTAAACAAATTCGCAGAACTTAATAGGGGGACTTGCAGCTTTGATGCTCTCTGTCTGCTCAGTGTGAAATTGGTTTCACCTGGAGACTGATAGGCTGCAACATGATCTGTAATCAGCCCCTGGATCTTAAAGGCTGGGTTAGGTTCATTCTTTGCACGGTTTCTTGCTTTATTTTGGAATTGAACATTTTCTGTTTGTAGCAAAGTCTAACTGATTTGCGTCAGTAATTCTTACAGTTTGTTGATCTTGGAAATTCACAATTGTATCTTCTATTTAGCATGAATTGTATTAAATAAAGTGATCAGATGAACTGAAGAGGTGGATTTGAGAGAAAACTAAGAACGGCTCTTTTGGAAGACTGTCACTGAAATTAGTTATAGTATATATTTGAGCAACAGGGGCTGCCAGTTTGACAGATTGAGACAAAGGGACTTGTTCTGACAAATTTGTGTGGATGAGGAAGAGGATTGGTTCTGCTGCTTTCATTGGTTCAGCTTAAGGAACAGGAAAAAATCCTGTATGGTGTGTGTGTGTGTGTTGGAAAGAATAGGGGCATAGGAATATAAAGTAGATGGAGCAGTGGGATATAGAAATTACTCTTCTAAATTTGCATTTCCTCATGGCAGAAAACCATGTAAAGGTGGTTTGGATATCAGATGCACAGCTGCAAGCTGCCAGGGGTGAGTCTCCTCAGAAGTGGCCCACACTTTAGCACTTGGTGCTGGGGAAGCATTGATAAATTTAGAGTCTTGGAGCGCTATAAAATCCACTGTGATGGGTTTTGGCAGTTTGTAAGAACTTGCAAAGTACAGAAACAATGTTATTGTTCCATTAGGCACATGATTTGTAGTGGTGAATGTTAACAGGAAAACTGTGTTCTGAGTAAGAGGAGACTGTAAAAATAAAAGCATAGGATGTTAGAAAAACAGTAATTTCTTTCATCCTCATTCTTAAAAGTAAAGGAGCTGAAAATTGGTAGCCAGAATTCTTGGAGACTGAAAGAACAATCTGTAAACACTTAAGGGACTTAGTAGACACAGGAAGATAAGAGGGAACCCCCTTAAGAGCCTTCATCAGAATTCCCTGACTGGGCTCCTTCTCTCTGGCTGCTTGTCCCTAGGGGTCTGCATCTTATCTCACTGGCTTCCTTTTGTCTGTTTGCCTCTGACTAATAGGCTTTGTCTTCTGGTTACTGGAAATCTAATAATTTCTTTTGTCTCTTTCCCCCTTCTTCCTTTTAAAAATACTATATTAAATGGCTGTAATGTTTTGCAGATAATCTACATTGGTGAGATGGATTAGTTGTATACTTGACTAAATTATTCAGAAGTAATGACATAGTAACTTGACTTGAAACAATGGTAATTTCATGGCAAATGCTCAAGGCCAATGTTGCCTTCTGGTAAAGAGCCACCTGCAATTTACCCCCTGTAAACATATGACACAAGTAAACTGTC